AGAGGCTCATGTCATCACCAGCACAGGCAGGCAGGGCGAAGATCCTCCAGGGAAAATAAGATGAACCAGCAAGATGGCACTGCCAAGTATTACCAGCGTCTAAGTGCCCGGATGCCCTTAAAAGAGCGAGATGGACCAAGAGCTGAGGGAAGGAGGTGTCGATAGAAATAGCCCCTGGAGTGAGCGGAGTGATGCTTGCTTCTGCTGAGCCTGTCTGCGCAGATGGGCTTATCGGACAGAAGCAGCAGGAAGAAGGGTTGATCTCAGAGATGTTTTGCAACTTTGCCTTGGGTTGCAGCCTAGAGAAGCGCGTCAGACTTATCTGCCAGCGAAGAGTCCCTAAAGGGATGGTGCTGGGTTGGAAGGCTTCAAGCCTTAGGAAAGGTGGGTCAGGGCTGGTCAGACTGCAGTGTGCCTTGGGGTCTGGTTGCGTGTACACACAGGATCCAGGCTGTCACAGGCGATTTGATTGTCCTTCCCTGGAGAGCAACCTTACGTTTTATGTCTGGTATTCGGGGGCTTATTTCCCCAGGTGGGACTCAGAAGATGCAGGTTTTGCCCAAGGACTTTGGGGTCTAGGCACCCTGGGTTTCGCCCAAGTGGGCATTCCAATGCTGGCTGCTATGACAGTAGCATTGGGATGGGATATGGACACAGCCTGCCTGTGAACTTGAGGGCCTGGAGGGAGGGCAGGAGGGTAGAAGAAACCACTTTTCCATCAAAGCCAGAAAAAGGAGGGGGCGGGATGGGAAATCTTGGATAGTCCTTCTCTCTGCCTGGACACACATCACTCACAAGTCGTTTCCTGAAAATCCTAACACACTCCAGTGGTGAGAGACGGCTTCCTGCCGATCTGCTGAGCCAGCGCCTTGTCAGGGAGGAGATGAGAACAAGATGTGGTCAGGGAAGGGGCGGGTGGGCCGAGCTGGGCTGCCCAGTGGCCTCTGTCGGGAGACAGCGGTGCCTTTGGTCCTGAGAGCAATGCCAGGGCACCACACGGGCATCACTGATGTGCTTAGCTTGGGACAGTGGGGGAGCGCTGGAAAGCAGTGTTTCGTCCATCAGTGAAATTGCACAGATGGTGGTGATGAAACATGACCCTTCCTTTTGTTCAAGAAGGAAGGACCTTCCTGGCCAACATCTGCAATCTCATTTGGGGAAAGAGTTGTCATTTCAAAAAAAAAAAACAAAAACAAAAAAGCACAACAAAAACAATAAACCCAACCAGCCAAACAAACAAAAAAAAACTAGCCCCAAAGTTCTCACATGTCCATCCTCTTTTTCTGCCCCGTGCTTTGCTTATTATTACCTATTGCTCGTCTCTGTACACAGTCACATCGAAGAGCTCCGTCTTCCTTCTGTGACAGCACAGATGTCCTCAAGGCTGCCATCATCACCGCCAACTTGTGGTTTGGACAACTGGGTCCTGGCAGTGCTTTAATTTTATGCTTCCACCTTCTAAGAAAGATGAAACAGAAAACTGCCTGAAAAGTGTGGTCGGGACCAACAGACCTGACGCCGTGCCCTGAGAACTGGGACAGCCACACGTCCGAGTTCCCGGTGTCCTTCGTCACAATACGGGCAAGGATTAGTACCTTCCTCAGAGCCGTGTTGTGAAGGTGAAATAATTTAACACTTAAATACATGTGAACTATTTTGAATGCAACATTTCTGGGCTTCTGAGGCTGCAAATGATCCAGGATGTGGTGGAGGCAGGAAGGTGGTGGGGGCTTTGATATTTCTGAACTTTACCTGCCTTAAGAGTATGTTGAAATCTCGTGGTCTAGGGCAGTAGTTCTGATCGGAATCACTCAGTTATCACAGTAGGTGGTTAGTTAGACACCAACCCCAGAGTTTCTGCCTGCTTCAGTGTATCTGGGGTGCAGCCCTACAGCCTGCATTTTCAACTAGTTCCTGCGTGATGCTGATGCCGATGCTGCTGGTCCTAAAAGGACAGTTATGGAGAAGAAGAGGGAGATTGTTCCTTGCAGATTCAGAAGACAGAGCACAGGCCAGTGGGTGCCAGTTACAGAGAGGTAGTTTTTGGTTCAGTGCAAGAACTTGATTTAACTCTTAGGTAAGGTCAAATATGAGGTGACAGGAGTTCCCTGTCACTGGGTATGTCCAGGGCTGAACAGCCATGTGGCAGGTTCCTCTACAAGGTATAGTTCATTCACTAATTTATTCATCCACTTATTCACCAAATAAACATGTCCTGGCTGCTGGGTAGAGGCTGGAAGCCGGGGAGAAGCCTTGGATAAGGCAGCCATGCCTACTGCTCTTAGGGAACGCATAGTCTAGTGCGTTTGGCTATGATTTCCCGGAGTCCCTTTTAATGCTGAGGCACTAAGAGTCCCATGGTGACGGGGGCCGATCCTCAGAATAAGGACCTGCAGAAAGATGCTTACCTTTCTGAGCATGAGTGGCTGAGGGCTGACGAGAACGTGGACACCTGTGAGGTTCAGTCTGGGTGGCTTTCTCTGGAGCATCTTAATGTCACTGGATGAATGGTATCTCCCCCTGAGACGGAGAAGAGGCGGAGAAGGTATTTATCAGGAGTGCATTTTCTGTGGGGAAATTTATATCCACTGGCACCCGGATGGACCATTAAACTCTGAAGCCCTGCCTAGCTGCCCATTATGTGGTCTGTGAAATCAGACCCAGGAAGCGGGGCTGCAGGAATGAGCTCATTGCTTTTCCACCACTCCCAAGAGATACACTGGAGAGGTCCCGGCTGGGGACATTTAGAGGGAAATAGGTAAATTCCATCCGTTGTGCTGGGTGTTAATCCCTTTTTATGTGTCTTTGTCATTTTACTTTTACAAGAGTCCTATCAGGTAAGGATATTGAAAAAACATTCAGAGGGGCAAAGTAACTCACTCATGGCCATAGAAACGGTCAATGTCAGAGCTGGCATGGAACCTCGTCTCTCGGATTCCAGACTCAAAGCTCCCAACATGCTGTACAACTACTTATTTATACTTATTCCTTTGTGTATCTGTTTCTTCATTCAGTAATTAGTTAAGTCAATCTTTCACTGAGTCAATGTTAAACGCTGATATATACTGGTGAGCAAAGTAGCTTGGCCTCTGTCCTCATGGGGCCCACAGTTTACCTCGGACACATGGGCGACTCCTCCTCCCTTAGGTCCTTGGCTGCTCACATGCTTAGGAGAAAGCGAAATGGCTGGGAGACGGGATCCGGGAAGTCCGCTCCTGACTCAAAGTTTCCATGTAATGAGAGTTTCTCTGCGCAGGCTGGGGTTTGGACTTTGCTTTATTTTTACATTTCCCTGTTGAGTCCCGTTGTTCATGTCCAAGGCTGGCTGTTGAAGGGCTTCACACAGTACAAGGGAGAATTCTCGTGGCATTTGCCTTCTGACTGCTCTCCAGGGGTGGAGGGCATCTGAGAGTCAGGATCCCAGAACTTAGCGCTGGAAGTGACCCTGGAGACTGTCTTCGATGACTCTGTCTTCCTGGGAAATTGTCACCTCGTCTAGAATGGGGGCTGTCTCTGCAGATTCCTTTGGCTTTCTGTGCTGGCCTCGGCCTATATTTTCTTCTGGAAAGCAGTTTCAAATTAGGTTTTCGGTTTTCAAAATGAATGCGTGTTCATTACTTTTAAAAATCAACCAGTTTTCAGAAGTATGCAACTGGCATTGTGAGCCTCTTCTTCAGTCCCCCGAGATTATTACTGTTGACATTGGGCATTTGCATCCGCAGTTGTTTTCGACACATACACTAGGGTGCACTATTATTATTTTTCATTAAAAGGGATTATTAAAATGCATACTTTCCTAAAATTTATTTTTTATCTAACTCAATTTTGGATATTCTTTCCAATCAGTACGTATAGATCCACTTTATTCTTTTTGTGTGTGTGAGACTCCAACTTCTCTTTCATTACAAACCCCTCTGCCCCTGACCTTGACTTTTTGTAGATGCATCTGGCTTTCAGTGTGGCTGAGCTAGTTGAAGCATCCATTTGGCTCTTGAATTTTATTTTACTTTTATATTTTATTTTTGTGGGGTTTTTTTTATAAGAGAAAGTTTACTTAGGGAGCCACAGAGGTAGAGGAAGTGAGCAGTAGAAGAAATGGGCTCAGGAGGCAGGCTACAGCAGGAGAAGAAGGGCCCGTGGAGCTCAGGGGGAGGGAGAGGCGAGGAAAAGGCGCCCCTGGCAGGCAGGAGTGGGGAAAGGTGTGGGCGTGCCCCCTAGAGAGAGCTGGTTTTTTTTTTTAACTTTTAGAGAAGTTCTGGGAACCTTGTTTGGTGTTGCCTCTCCTTTGGCGAGGCGTTCTTAACCTCAGCTTCAAGGGGTCTGTGGCAAAAGCAAAACCAAAGTCCAGTTTTGGCGGGGGGGGAAGGATTTATGGGAAGGGCGAGACACAGAGGTGCTAGGTCTCAAGAAATCTGAACCACTAGGTCTCAGAAAGGACAGGCTGTGGCAACTTCAGGAACCCATGCAGCAGGAGCAAAGGGACCAGGTGAGTTGCTCCCACCTGCTCATCTCTGGTGACATTATTCCATTGGCTTGGCTTGAATCGTGGTTCTCCTTGGCTGGGGCCAGGGACAACACCTTGATTGACAATCTCACCAAAACGTGCAACAGGGGAGAGGTGTTCCCTTCAATAAAGATTGGTGTGCTAATACTACAAGTTGGTAGACGCAGTGGTAGAAAAATCAATCCAGGTACATTTTGAGTATGCGTTTGCCTGTGTGTATTCTCAAGACCCAGAAAAATTTAAAGCCACTGCTTTTGTTCTGCTGACACTATCTGGTTGTCTGAACTGAATCATGGTCCCAACAAATTGAGAAATTCATAGCAGACTCTCTCCTGCTTTTCCTTTTGTTCCCTAGGCCCTGGTGGCCGCCCTCTTTCTTCTGCACAGAGATGCTGGGAGTGGTTATGCCTGCTTCAGTTAGAGTGACTGGCCATAGTCCCCGGGAGGGTGGAGTCTGTCACCTCAGGTGACAAATGTCTATTCTTATTCTTCACAGGCACCTTTTCGCTCCAGCCTACACAGAAACCCAGTATACTCCCAGTGGCACCCCTCAAACCACCACGCTGAAATCCGAGGTAAGTTCAGGTCAGCAAATAGCTATAAATCAGCTGCCCTCCGCCACCTCATCCCTGGGGAGCAAGGAGATGGTGGACCCAGTGGAGATGGCTTCTCCTCCAAGGGGATTGTTTCTGCTGCCTGAAAACCTGCTCTCCTGGAGACAGCAGGAGAAGCCAGGTGAAAATTTGTTGTTTTCTAAGTGTGCCCTCCCCTTTGCTGGCTAAAATGGTCAAACAGAAAGTCTTTCAGGATAATTGCTTCTGATTAAAATTGTCGTAAATCACCTTGAGGCATATATTTTCTTTGCTTTATGTTAAGCACTCACATGAACAGAAGCTGCAGGGAAGGGAGTGGTTGCTGGTAATCCTGTCCTCTTATCCTGTCAGCTGTCTAGTTGTTCCTTTTGCCTATGGATCTGTGCAGTTTTGCACTCTGCCTTTTTAATGTGATTTTAGGTTGTGGAGATTTGCTTATTTTGCCACTATCTCCACATTGGCTTTTTTTTTTTCTCCTCAAAGTAGTTTTTGAGTACGGATGTTTGCACAAAGAATTTGTCATTTAGAAAATGGTCTTTCAGGTGGATACACTTCAGTTGGCTTCACCACACCCCACTGGTGAACATTGAAGGTAGTGAATCGTACACATTTTGTGGTTTGCCAGCTTTTCCCACCAGGGGACCCATTAGAATCATAGGCTCAGACCTTTGGTTCTCAAGCAGGAGTGATTTTGTTTTACATCGTGCATTTACTTAAACTTTTGTCAATGTGCAGGTGACTAACATGAAGCAAAGAAAATATGCTTCACGGTGGTTTATACCAATTTTAATCCAATACAGTTACCCTAAAATATTCTATTTGTATGTTTGACCATCTTAACCAGCAAAGGAGGGACCCTCGGCTACATCCAGAGGCAGATTTGGTCGTCATGACTGAGAGGTGCTGCTGGCGCCTGGAAGGTAGAGTCCAGGGATGCTGCTCACCTGCAGTGCACAGGACAGTCCCCACACAGGGAATTAGCTGGCCCCGAATGACACTGGTGCCCAAGTTGAGACACTCGGCAGTGCAGTGACCCTTCTCAGACCCTGGGCTGATGCAGGCTGATGCGAGCTGAAGGGGAAAGGGGGACGGGCTCTGGAGGAGTCTCTGGGGCAGGACTTAATGGACTGGAGTGGCGGGTGGATGTGGGAGGGGTGGTGTGAAGACAGCAGGACAGGCCCCTGGACCCCAGGGCTCCTCCAACAGAGGCTTCGCGTGGAATCTAAGTCTCCCGCATGGCCCATTCTTTCAAATATCCTTGCCTGAGCATGACCGCCTGGAAGACAAGGACAGCCACTGTCTGTCATTACCAACTCAGATCACTTGATCAAATTACCCTTGAAGGACAGGATACAAGATAGCTACGTGCCCACAGCAGGCAGTTCAGCTGGGTTTTTTCACCTCTGGGCAGGCTGTCCGGCTGTAGTGTGTCCACACACCTTCCTCAGTGCCCCTTGGGTCAAAACCTCCTTCCTTGAGATTGGTTCTCTGCCTCTGGGGAGGTGGAGAGGGGTCAGGCATGCTTCGAAAGCCTCAGCCATGACAACCTCACAAAGCACCCTCCTCTGAGCTTGGCTCCTGCCTTGGTGTACCAGCAGCTCAAGAATGGGTCTCAGTGCCCAAGTTTGCCATGAGCTCATGCTTCCTGCTGTGGAAGCCCCCTTGGGGTGGCCCCCTCAGGCCCAGAAGCGGAGCAGGAATGTGATGACTTCATGACTGTTTATCTCCTTGTTCTTTGTGCTCTCTGACTTAGGCAGAGATGTTGTAAGGGCCCTTCAGAAACAGAGGAGTGAGAGAGACCGTCCTCCCATTTCTAGAATGCTCCTCCTTCCTGGCGGGTTTGCGGACTGAAGTATGGTCTAGGCCATTGTTTTCTCACATCCCTGCTACAGGACAGCAAAGCTGCCACCCAACCCCATGGAGCTCTTAGTTCTTTCTTCTTTGGGAGTTGAGGACCTAAAGGGGGATGGGAATGGAATAAATCATTTAGCTGCACTTGACCCATGTGTTGAGAACCATGCCCTACTACCAAACTTGGCCTGGGGCAGCGGGAGTTCTGGGAACCTTATCAAATACACTGGAAGGCGCTGTAGGCTGTAGCCCTAATCTGGGTCAGATCACTGGGGGAATGAATGGGTCTGTGAATGTGTCCCAGTAGAAAGAGTTACAGAGTTTGGGGTCTGAAGCCAGGGTTTTAGACTTGGCTTCAGCTATTTGACCTTAAACAACCCTTTTGACTACACTAGTATTGAATTTCTTCTTCTGAAAATTGGATATGCGGCGATCTGATTCTCAGGGCTATGGCAGAGTAAGATGAATCACTGATTTTATGGGAATTTATAAACATCTCTTGCAATGCCACATTTTACAGATGAGGAAATTGAGAGAAGAAAAAAAGGAACATGCTTAAGTTCAGATAACCAGCAAATGGCAAGGTTTAAAAACTAAAACTCAAATCTTTATTGGTGGAAGAAGAGAATAGTTTTGACAAATTAATTTGTATGTACTTTGCTGGGTCTCCTTTCCTGGGAGAGGCTGAGCATGGGGTCTGATAGGCTGCTGGGGTTTGAAGCTCTACTGGGTAAAACCTCTCCAACCTTGAATTCTGGCCAAGATGGAGGCATAGGTAGAAACCCTTTGCTTCCTCACACAACCAAAAAGAGGATAAGAACCAATCTAAAATCAATAAACAACCAGAAGTGTCAGAAAATCAAATTGCATAGAACTCCAACAACCAAGGAATTAAAGAAACAGTCAACCAGACCAACCATACTGGTAAGAACTCCAGGCAAGGCTGCAGCGTGTGGGGCCAGCTGAGAGAAACTGCATGGAGGTGGTGGACCGTTGTCAGGGAGCAGCTGAGAGAAACCCCGTGGGGGCGGTGGACCATGCCAGGTGGGGGTCAGGGCAGCTGAGAGAAACCGCATGGAGGCGGTGGACTGCACAGGTGGGGCTGGCTGAACGAAAATCGACTCAGAGGTGGCTGTGGACTACGGCGGGGGTGGGAGAATCTCCCAGTCTCACATGAGAGTTCATTGGAAAGTGCGCTAGAGATGAGCAGGCAACCACACTGTTCCCTCTCTGGCCCCTCCCCCACAGGCAGAGCTTGCCCTGTTTGTCACAAGGAGGGTTGCCCTGCGAGGGTGAATACCTAAGGCCCTGCCCCCTTGCAACTTATCAGGGGCCCTGAACAAGGAAATATGGCCCAAATGAAGGAACAGAGCAAAAGTCCAGAAAGAGAGCTAAGTGATGAGGAGATTGCCAACCTATTGATGGAGAGTTCAAAGTCCTGGTAATCAAAATGCTCACAAAACTGATTGAGCTGGGTCACAAAATGAAAGAGCAAATGAAAGATACCCAAAGTGAAATAAAGCAAAATATTCAGGGAACCAACAGTGACAGAAAGGAAACCAGGACTCAAAGCAATGATTTGGAACAAAAGGAAGAAATAATCATCCAAATGGAACAGAAGGAAGAAACAAGAATGCAAAAAAAAAAGAAGAGAAGCTTGGGAACCTCTGGGATAACCTTAAACATTCCAATATCTGAATTATAGGGGAGCCGGAAGGAGAAGAACAAAAGCAAGACATTGAAAACTTATTTGAACAAATAATAAAGGAGAACTTCTCCAATCTAACCAAGGAAATAGACTTCCAGGAAGCCCAGGAAGCCCAGAGAGTCCCAAAGAAGTTGGACCCAAAGAAGAACTCACCAAGGCACATCATCATTAAGTTACCCAAGATTAAAGATAAGGAGAGAATCTTGAAAGCAGCAAGAGCAAAGGAGATAGTTACCTACAAAGGAGTGCCTGTAAGACTATCAGCTGATTTCTCAAAAGAAACCTTGCAGGTAAGAAGGGGCTGGAAATAAGTATTTGAAGCCGTGAAAGGCAAGGATCTACATCCAAGATTACTCTATCCAGCAAAGCTATCATTTAGAATAGAAGGTCAGATTAAGTGCTTCTCAGATAAGGCCAGGTTAAAGGAGTTCATAGCACCAAGCCCTTATTATATGAAATGTTAAAGGGACTTATCTAAGAAATTGAAGATAAACAACTACGAACAGTACAATGACAACAAACTCATAACTGTCAACAAATGAACCTAAAAAAGAAAGAAAGAAAAACAATGAAAACAAAAACTAAGTAAACAACTAGGACAGGAATAGAATCAGAGAAATGGACATCACATGGAGGGTTTTCAGTGGGGAGTGGGAGGGGAGGAATAGGGGGGAAAAGATACAGGGAATAAGAAGCATAATTGGTAGGCATAAAATAGACAGGGAGAGGTCAAAAATGGTATAGGAAACGGGTATAGAAAATGGTATAGGAGAAATCAAAGCACTTGTAAGTACAACCCATGGACATGAACTTGTGGGGAGTGCAGGGCAGAGGGAGATCAAGGGGGTAAAATTGGGAAAGCTGTAATAGCATAAGCAATAAAATATACTTTAAAAAAATAAATAAAAGACACTGGCTTGGCGGGGGGACTTCTCCAACCTTGAGTTTTCCCCCTTTTAAAAATGGGAATAATAATACATACCTCATAAGGCTTTGGTCAGAATTTTATTTTAAATCAGTATACATTGTTTATGCAGTAGTAAAAGCTGGATGAATGTTAGCTCTTATTGTTACTAACAGCGAGTGTCAGGTATTATTATCCATGTGAGGATGTGTGTGAAAACCCTTTGGAAATTTAAGGCATGTTACAGAAGTCCATTGTGATGCTGTTTCAGAGACACCCAGGCAGTGGGCACTGTTAGCATCAGGTCAAAGACGGGAAGATGTACAAGGGCCCTTTACACCCATCCCAGGCTCTGATTTCTCTTTATCTGTAGAGATACCAGGATTTGCGAAGCTGACCCATATTTCTGAACTTCTTGACTCTCTGTCATTCCGATATCTATGAGCCCCATACACCCCATACAGGCCCAGCCCCCTTTTCTGCCCAGGAATGATCCTGGGTTGTAGAGTTCCAAGGCCTTGTTGCTGAATTCTAAAGATCAGGTTTAGAACCTGAAGGCTTGATAACGTGCCTCCAGGTCCCAGAGCCTAGGGTAGATGGAGAAGTCATGCCATAGGCTGGCCTTTGAAACAGATGGGATTCTGGCTGGAAGGAGGGTCGTGCCCACCTCCCATCTTTCATATGTGCTGCAGGATTGCCCCTGGCACGGTGGCTTTTTTTTTTGTGCCCCGATAAAGGTGGGCATGTTTCAAGGCCAGGAAAGTTTGATGCAAAAAGAGGGGCCGGTGCCTGTCTCTCCTCCTGACTGCCTGAACATGAGTGGGTGGAGGAGCCACCAGGGAGGTGCCACCGTGGAGGCAACAGGTTACCAGCAGGTGACAGGGCACCAGACTGAGATTGACCTTGAGCCGAGTGTCAGCCTGGCCTGTATGCTGTGATCTGGCTGCAGCTAAGGCCAAAGGGTCAGCCCTTTGGTGCGCTTCCTGCTCCCTCAAGGCCACATTCTGCATTTGACAAAGGATCTCTAATGTCTATGGCTGGCTGCTCCAGGCCAGGTACACTGCACTAGCTCCTTGAGGTACAGTGTTCTTACAATCTTCCTGAGGGAGAAACTGAAGATGCTGGAAATCAGAGAGAGGTTGTACAACTGTTTCCACAGCTGGTAGGTATGGAGCTTGTGTTTAAACCTAGCCTGGGCATGCCAAAATGCCTACATTTAATTAGGCTATACTTGGGCCTAGAGCCGGGCAGGAGATGAAACCAGAGAAGATAAATGAATGGGTTAACCGTGTCCTAGGTCCCTTTGCTGCCTGCCAGGGACCAAGGGACATCCACAAGCAAGTACGGTCCTGCTGATGGATCACTTGGACTGTTCCATAGGCAAATGCCAGAGATTTCTGTCTGGCCCTGCTCGTGCGCAGGGTGTTGGGGTGGGCTCAGGAGAGAAACTTCCCTGTCTGCAGCTACACAGTTCACATCCTTCTTAACTCCTGCTCGGAACCTGGCTCTGCCCTGGGGGGTTTACCTTCTCTCTGTTCTGACCCCCTTCTCTCTCTTAACCATTGGGGAAGGAGCTTGTAGGGATGTGTCTTTTGTTCTGACCCCTCGCTGTGCCCTGGCTGGTCCTGGTTCGAGCCCATTTGTCAGGTTTCACACGTTAGCGCTCAGCAGTGTCCTTGTTTGCCTCCTAAGTGCTCTGGTTACCCTACTTATAAACCACTCTGCTGGCATCTCCAACCTTGGTTTCAAGCCACTCTTCATAGTTTGTAATTATATCTTTGTATAGTTTTTAAATTAAGATTGGTTTGCACCAGACCCTGAGTCCCATGAAGGCTGGAGCTGTGTCTGTTTGTTCATTGTGGTGTCTCTGGGGCCTAGCCCAGGGCCTGGCACACGGTGGTGCTCCACATCTGTTTGTAGTCATGGAGGAATCCAGCCGGGCTGGGGAGACCAGATGGCCCTGAGACACAGCGAAGGGAGAGCAGCATCAGACCTCTGTGCGTCCATGAATGTGTCTACAGGTGCCAAATTCATTCTGATCCAGGCATGTAGGGATTCAAGGCAGGTACAGAGGAGCTGGGGTCTATTCATTTCCTAGGCCTGCTGTAACAAAGTACTATGAACTTGGAGGTTTAACACAATGGAAATGTATTCTCTCACAGTTCTGGAGGCTAGAGTTCAAAATCAAGGTGCCGGCAGGGCCAAGTTCCCTCTGTAGTCTAGGGAAGAATTCTTCCTTGCCTCTTTTGAGCATCTGATGGCTTCTGGCCACCCTTGGTACTCCGTGGTTCCCCTTTGCTTGCAGCTTCAGCACGCTAATCTCTGCCTCGGTTGTCACCTGGCTTTCTCTGTGTGCGTGCGCGTGTCTGTCTGTGCCCTGCCCTCTTCTTAAAAGGACACCAGTCCAGTATGACTTCGTCTTAACTTAATTATATCTGCAAAGATCCTGTCCCAAATAAGATCACATTCTGAGGTTCTGGGTAGACAGGAATTTTGCGGGGGGGCACTATTCAACCCTACAGGGGGTCACAAAGGTGACTCTGGTGGGGAGGCGGGCTCTTCAGAAGCCAGTGTTCTCTCTGGCCAACATCCTGTCGTGGCAAGAGCTCTGAACCCGCTCTGAAATCCCGGGTCTCCAGCTACAGAAGGGACCTTCGGCAAACCTCTTCGCTCCCCGGAGCCTCAGCTCCTTCATCGGTTCCACGAGGGTGATGTACCTGCCTGTCCCGCCTCCCAGGGCTATTATGAGAATCAGAGAAAACAGAGGTTTAGAAGGCTCTTAGCAGGTTCTGAGGTTAGGCTAGGTGTACAGTCACGCATGACCTTCACGAGACATTACCACGGCTGTGCTTCCCGGTGTTCTTTGGCCTGACCACCCCTTTCTCCTTACTTAGGATCACTGCTTTTACCACGGGACGGTGAGGAACGCAGATCAGTCCAGTGTCACGCTCAGCACCTGCCGGGGAATGAGGTAAGAGGCCCTGACAGTGCTGGGGGACACCCGGCTCTCCCCCCAGGAATGGGAATGGAATTTTCAGGACGAAAATTCCAAGGCAGGGCCGGCCTTGGGCAGGGACCTCGAGAAGCTGTCCATGGAGAGTGTATGCAAGCCAGCTCAGAGACAGGCCGAGCCCAGCAGCAACTTGAGGAACTTGATGTTTTCGTGTTACCCAAGTGTGGTGAGGCCAACAGAGTAGGAGACGGCCGCCATCGAAGGGACAGTTTGTTGTACTCAGTCAGGGTCCCAAGAGCAGGGGGCCTGTGGGGGTGGGGCACCCCGGAAGCCCAGGGGTCCATCTGGAGGCAGAGGGAGGAGAGATGTGGCAAGTCTTTATTGTGGTGACTGCAGGAAAGAACGGGTGAGGCTTAGGGATGGTTAGTTTAAATAATTTCAGTGGCATCCGAGGCTCAAGGGCTGCCGCTCGTCGTCGGGTACCTGGGCCTGGGGTGAACAGGGCAGGGAGCTAGTGGGCCAGAGCGTGAAAGCCGCATTTGAAAGGCATGCTCACTGGTGAGTTGTTTCCTGGCTGCAGGAGTTGGAGTAGATGATCAAGCACCGGAATATACAAAGTCCAAGATGGAGTCACACACTTGAAACTGATGAGTGTGAGCATTGACTCCCACTTCTCCTTTGCTCTTTTCTGGATGAAGTACTTGTAGGTGGTGAACAAGGAAATGGGCAGCTAGTGAAAAGAGAGAAAGGAGAAGCAAGGATAATTTTCAAGACGGAAAGTTTACTGAAAAGTTGCAACTAGGCTGCACGTTGGAAAGAGTTAGAAAGAGAGTGACTTCGTTCTCTGAGCCAGACTACCTGGTTTTGAGCCAATGGCAGTTTACCAGCTGGGTGACCTTGGGCCGAGATGCTCTCCTTAGTGGAAGGTAGATGAGAGGAATATTCCTCGTGTGCTGAGGATGGGATGTGTTCATAGAGATCTGATGTGTACAACTGGCTGTCACGCAGGAGCACTCAGTTGCCTCCTGGGTCCTTGCTTCCTAGGTGTGGCCTGCAAGGGGTGGCAGCACTTGGGAGTTTGTTCAAAATGCAGTGACTCTGGTGCCGCCTAGACCTCCAGGATTGTAATCTGCATTTGCCAAGTTCCCCAGGGGATCGCTGTGCGCTTACAGTGTGTCCCTGAGAGTGCACATTCCTTGACAGTGTAAAGTCTGTATCAGGTATCTGTTTCTCTCCTCCAGCCTACCTACTGTCAGCTTTGCAGACAGTGGGATTTTATAGATGCGTATTGAACTAATAAATGTCACTTATTTAGACTTTCCCCACAATTCCCTCCTTTTAGAAAAGAGATGATCTGAAAGTCCTGTATTTTAACTGCCTGAAATAATTACCTGGGGTTTAATGACCTGGGTTTTAGTGTGATACCTATACTCAATGTGTTGGTGAACTGTCTCCACCAAAACAGAAAGAAAGAGAGAGAGAGAGAGACAGAGAGAAGAAAGAAAGAAAGAAAGAAAGAAAGAAAGAAAGAAAGAAAGAAAGAAAGAAAGAAAGAAAGAGAAAGAAAGAGAGAGAGAGAGAAAGGAAAAGGCCTGATTTATAGCATCTGCCAATAGGCTGGTAAAAATACTCCTACCGTGACCAATGTGAAGCTGTCAACACGATGTGACTGACGGCAGAATTGGGGAGGAGAGCACGCGACTGCCTCTCGTGAGCCAGTGGGTGTTTCCACCGTGTACCCTTCTTCTCTGTCAACTGATTCCTTCAATAATTGTTTCTGTCATTCAGCATATTTATATTGGGCACCTGCTCTGTGCCCATCCCCTACACAGGTAAGAGGAAAGACAGGCATTGGAGTACTTTTCTGAGCCCTCAGTTTCCTCTTCTGTAAAATGGGCATCCATGACCGGCATGTTAGAGAATGAGATGTGTTATGTGAACTCTGCAGCACTCTACAGGCAGACAAGATTGTTATCATCTACGCCATCTTATAACAGTGAAATCATGCTCACATTTACCCAGGCTTACATGCAAATGCAAGGCTGCAGTCACAGTTACTCAGGCTCACGTGCAAATGCAAGGCTGCGGTCACAGGTACCCAGGCTCACAGGCAAAATGCAAGGCTGCAGATCCCACGTGTTTGTTTATAAATTGGGCCCTGTCTCCTCTGTAAGGCTTCACAGTGAGTGGGCCAGAGGGAATTAGGCAGGAAACAAGCTTTGGATGGGAGGCCACATCAGTGGCCTCCAATCCCCCACTCAAATGACTTGGTTGAGCCAAGCCAACTGGCCTCCCGGTGGTGTTTACAAGCCCAGCCGCAGCCACCTGCAGTCTGCAAGTAAACAACCGTCTTTCCCAAGAAGGAGGAAAGGGAACATGCAGGTGTGACTTGCATCTCCGCCTCTTCCTCTGTCCCCTTGGTCTGGAGTGGTGGGAACTTGGCTTGGCCTCTTGTGAGTCATTCCCAAGGCCTTGCTGACAGGGGGAAACTGGGTGAGCTGTCTGTGTTTCTGTTTTGCACGCTTCCCTCTGGTGAGGTCCGCCCGCCTTGCTTTCCCAGCCATCTCACGACACACCTTAAGAAACCAAGGGTGTCTGCGGGCTCCACTGATTTAAGAGCTGGAGACTCCTGCCAGATGGCTCCGTTCGGACTCTGGAGAAGGAGCAGCTGTGGCAGCTGCTCAGGTCTCCCCCCACTAGGCTCATAAAACGATGCTGCAATGGAAAATCTTTTTAGCAATTGTGCTTCTCCTGGAAGCATGCTCTCTGTGACTGGAGAAAATAGATAGGACTTATACCAAGTGGAATCTTCAGGCTGATGATACAAATACGGAGGAATTCGGCTGAGTTTCTAGTTGCCAGGCACCCTCTTCTCTCCAAACCAGTTCTGTAAGCTACTCTGAGGAAAGAATACATAATCATAGAAAAAAATGGAAATAGGACAAGAGTATAAATGAAAGATAGGCCTTTTGCCCCGAATTTACAGAATTTCCCCTCTCCAGAGGCGGCCATTGTTACCAGTGTCTTGTGCGTCCCGTTAGAAATATTCCTTGCAAAAAAGAGTATAAATGCACATAGGTAATGCGGTGCTTTGTCATCGTATTTGGAACACGGACCCCTTGGAGAACTGAGTGGCAGCTGCAGATACTTGTAAACTGTATCAGTGGAAACATGTGGCACATCATTGCGTTAGTGATGTCGGGTGCGCGTATCCCCCAAGTCAGCCTGCGATGCAGGACTCACCCTCTGAGTGCCCACAGGACCTCTCAAACCAACACGAAGTAGCAGTGTAAGGAGCGGTGGTTATGTGCTAAGAGTCTAGACTGCACTGGGCTGAGGTGTTCTTGGCCGACCCTGTGGGACTGGGGGGGCGGGGAGAGGGGGGCGGACACACTGGGTGCGTGTGTGTCCCTAGCTCCCTGTCTGTCAGCAGGAGAGGGACGGATTGCAGTAAAAATGTTTTTTTAAATCTGGTTTGTCAGTTTCTTTTTAATGATACTGCTTATTAAAATTATCATTGCATCACTAACTAGTGTTAAACACAAGTGCAGAACTGTAGAAGTCAAAGTTCTTTATCCTGTCCCATCCTTTCAACTGATCCCGTTCCCTGTCTCTGTTCACTGTTGGGGATGTACGTAATTGAATTATACAATTGTGTGTATACATGATTTTTTTTTAATCCAAATGCAATTACCCCATATATACCATTTCATTTAACGTACCTCCTGGCTAGGTGATCTCTGAGCTGTTCTCTTCCAGTCCATTTTCTCCTTATCTTTGTCTTGGCAGGGCTGGTGCCTCCCACAGCCCTTACTCAGCTCTGTGGATGGTGCCCTGGGCCGGAGGCTGCTGAGTGCTGGGAGGGAGCAGGGAGAGGGAGGGGTTGTGTCAGGGCCCCACAGTGAGTAATGAACCTGGTTGGCAAACCTGGGCTCTGCCCCCGGCCCTAACAACAGTAACTCACAGGTGACCAGGGCAAGTTCCTTCTCCTCTGGGCTTTTGCTTCCTCTCATCTGAAAAAGGAGAGTAGACCAGACCACTAAAATGACCTCTCAGCGTTAGGACTTCTGCACTGCACAGGGAGTGGGCAGAATCGCAGGGAGGCGGCTGCCTGGGACCGAAGGAGGTGGCCTGTAGATGGGCAGCCAGTGCAGACCTGCCTGCCCCTTTGCCACAGCATGGCAAGGCCCTTCCGCTTCGAGTACCTGGCCTTCCGTATGCAGAAAGGAGGGTAGGCGCTACCTCTGTGTCAGGCACAGAGTAAGCCCATGTGGGAGGGTACCACTAAGTTGTGACAGGTGTAGACCCTGGAGCTGGACAGTCCCTGGTTCAGGGCCGGATGGCTTGCTTCAGTCCTCCAGCATCAGTTTCCCTCCCTGGTAAAACGGGGACAACAGTGACACCACTGGGTGACGGGCGCCACCTCCTTGAGAGCAGGGACTTTTCTCCCCATCACGCTGCATCCCCTGTGCTGAGAACAGTCCTAGCACATAGTAGGTTCTCAATGCCTATGTGTTGAATGACTGTCAAATAAGATGCTTTGTACCCTCCCTGATGTATGATGCATGCTCTTCTTTTTCATGTTACTTTGATCATTAGTAAACATTGTTTATTACTTCTGTCGATTATCATAGTGAGCCCGTGAGAAGGGCAGCATTGTTGAGTGACTTCCCCCAGAGCTAGCAGACAGCGGAGCCAGAGTGTGCCTGCTCCCCCCACCCCCCAGGCCCTGCTCTGCACTGCAGGGGGAGCCCATCACCTGTCTGCCTCCTTTCCTCCCTTCTCTGCCGCCTGGGAAGGTCACTGTAGCTCCTTCTCATTTGGATGCAAATAGGGGTCAAGGGGGTAGGAAGGAAGGGTAACAGGACGATTACCTCCTAGGGCTGCTCTGGATTTGGGGAGGTAGGGTGTGTCCCTCTGAGTTTAGCTGTGAATGGACAAATTCCCAGGAAGCAGTCTTGCCTAGTTCCTCGAAGGATATACGAGGACCGGTCCTACATTCACTCAGGGGTTAAACCTGAATCTCCCGCTGCCTGCCTGGCCTGCCTTGCCAGGGCTCCTCTGCACAATTTCATCTGTATCAAGCTCTTAACGATGAGCAATAGGATGGAGAGTGGAATGGAGAAGAGCTTGTGAGGTCCTGGCCACCCAGCCTCCTGGGCCCCCTTCCCGTGTCCCTGGTGAACTTCTGCCAGTACTTACATTTAACAAATTAGATCAACTGAGGCTGCTGGAAGGATAAACAACCGGTGAGTGTTCACAGGAGGGCGGCTAGCAGGACTTGGGGCTGGTGACCGGGGAGGGCCCCAGGAATTAGATTGTCAGAAATCCCTCCACCGGCAAGGCTGGGGTTCACTGTAAATGCATGCAGATCTCTGCCTCCCCCCCAGGCAGTCTGGGAGGATTGCAACTGAGACATGGGGTGAGTTGCCAGGGGCCGCAGTGGGGGGACGAGGGGCAGGCCATGGAGTCCTACTGCTGGGAGGACTTCCAGTGTCCTTCTGAGCCTGTGTTTGTCAGCTTGTCACCTGCCCATTCCCTGCAACAGAATTGCTAGGGGCTGTGTGAAGAGGGGGCCCCTGCTACGCAGCCTAGATTCCAGGCCACAGTTCCTGAGTGTGGCTGGGCATGGAATTACTGTGGAGCTCGCTAGGAGTGCTGATGCCCAGGCCTATGGAGTCTGCATCTCCTGCATCTGTCTGTCTGATGCACTCTGTACAAACATTCTGTTATATAGCTCTGGGCACTCTGATCCTAGAGATCCCTGACTGTAGGGTTAGACCTCACTGATGGAGACGGATGGCATAGAGGTTAAGGGCATGGCGTCCAGAGTCTACCAGACCTTAAGTCTTTGGCCCCAGAGACTCACGAGAGCTTGTAACTTAATCTCTCTGTGGCTCAGTTCCCTCATCTATAGAATGGGGCCTGTGACGGTGCTTGATTGCGTTGACATGGGAATGAAATGTCTTACTTCCCATACGCCAGTAGGGTGATGGCCTGCTATGCCTCAGAGGAGGGTTGCTGGTGCCCGTCATTTGTAGCCATCTGTGAACTGGGGACATCTTTCTAACCCACTCTTCAGGGCTATTGTGACAGAGGCCTGTGAGGTCATGGTTAAGGTCATGGGACCTGGAACCAGACTGCTTAGGTCCTTGTGACCTGTGTGAATTGGGGTCTGTTAATTAACCTCGCTGAGCCTTAGTTTTCTCGTTTGTACAACAGGGATAATATTCGTAAGGATCATGGAAGCCGGTGTGAAGCACCAGTGCCTGGTCCATAGCAGAGGCTCAGCCATTTATGACCACCATGATTACTCTTATTCAGCCTGCACTGAAATTTGGCATGGCCTCTGTCCAAGTGGCCTAGAGGTTTTTTAAGTGATGCCCAGTCAGCTACACTGGAACTTTCCCCAATCCCTTTGTGGAACTTTCCATTCACTGGCTGTTATCTCCACAGCCACAACCTGGTACACGTCAAAACATTAGCTGGTTTGTGGTCCAGCCCTCTGTGTTTGCTAAGTTCATAGCCAACGGGGGAAACTGAGGTGACGGGAAGGGCTTTGGTTTGGAAACAGGATGCCCGCAGCAGCTCTGCCCTCTGCCCTTTCCTGTCTGGATTCGGGAGCGGATGTGACCCTTGCTCTTCTCCACACTTCCACTCCCAGCTGTCCAGGGAGCACCTTGGGTGTCCCGCCAATGCGCTGCGCCAGGATCGCTCTGGATTGCTGTGTCAGCCTGGGCGAGGCAGCCGGGAAGCTGTTAGGTGCACCGGCGTCGGCACCGGAATGAGGTCAGCCCAGGATGGACTCCAGAAAGGGCTGCTGCCGATCAAAGCCTGGCATAGTCTCTCCTGGGAGCAGCACTGGCTCTTCCCAAAGGGCACGCCCTGGGCGGGGGTCCTAAGGAGCAAGGGGCAGGGCTGGAAACTGAAAGAGCTGAGGAGAGAGGGCCTTTCAATTTGGAGTGGCGAAGACCCTCGTGGAGATAATGTAACCGGAGTTTTCTGAATGGAGGAGAGCCTGGGGTTTTGGAGCACGTGAAAGGCTGCTGGGCGCCCCTGGGGGCTCATTGCTGGGCCTCTTCCTCCCTCGGAGCCCTGGGTACCTCCCCTCACATTCATCTCACTGCATCAAGGATGGCCAATACCTGCCGCCGGGACGTCTACTCGTGCGTCCGTTGATTATTTGCAGCAGTGATTGATAATAAGCTGTAGCTTTCTTTCTCGCTGCAGCCAGATAAAGCTCTCAGACGCCTCACTGATGCAGCCCTTCAGGAAGCTGCATCCAGTCCGTCAGGGTTGGGGGTGATAAAACCCTTTAGCTGTCTCTGTTATATACTATAGCGATTTAAGCCCTTGTTCAGACTCCAGCCTCCGTGTGGGCAGGTATTTTGTCTTCTTCACTGTTCCTTCCTCAGCATCTAGCTTGATGTGTGGCCCAGAGCAGGAGCTCAGGAAATGTTTGTGGAATGAATGTCCGTCCTCCAGTCGGCTGTGAGTCACTTGGGCACAGGGTTTATGTCCCGATCACTTCTGGTACAGAGTGAGGGCTCAGTGAGGGAAAGAGTATAATGGATGTTCAACGCCAGTGTCTATGACCAAGAGAAAGAGTAGCCACACGTGCTTGGTCGTGGGCGTCACGTTACTGCAGAGCTACCTTGCTGGGGATGTTGGGGCCAGTGAGAATGCCATCGGTGATGCCTCTTGCTCTGGTTTCCAAGGACAGTGACACTTGTCAATCTATTAGTCATCCCGAGAGTCCTCATGAGTTACTAAGTTACCGTTTGCAATTTACGCATGGGGAGACAGAGGTTCAGACTGATTTAGGAGGTCTGTTGAATATCATTTGGCAATTTCATGTCTCCTCACCCCTAGACCAGTGTCCTTCCTCTGGTCCCCATACCATCTTTTTCTGTGTCTATAAAGTTTCTACTGGTGATTTGTCATACGCCGTGTTTGGGTTTTGGAGGCTTTTTGGAACCCTGGTCCTACCCTCACTTATAAGTATTAACTGTCCCTGGTCTAGTCTTTTTAGAACCTTTTGAGGTTCTCTGCAATAAGCTTTTAGTGCCCTGAAGGTGTGAACCACATTGCACATGCTTGTGCATTTCTCTGGAGAGGAAGTCTGAGTTTGCACCAGGTTCTCACCAAAGGGTGCATGACCTCACAATAAGGTTCAGAACCAATAACTACAACCAACTGGGTCATTTTGCATAGGGGGAAATTGAGGCCTGGGCAAGGGACTTTTCCAGGGCCACAATCTTTGACCAGAGATTCCATTTCTCCTGTTGACAGAGGACTGATCGTGGTGAACAGTAACCTCAGCTACATCATCGAGCCCCTCCCTGGCAGTGAGGGCCACCACCTTATTTACAGATCTGAACATCTCAAGCTGCCTCCTGGGAACTGTGGGTTCGAGCACTCCGGAGCCAGCACCAGGGACTTGGGCCTTCAGTTTACAAACCAGATCAAGAAAGGACTTCGCCGGGTGAGTTCTCGGTGCAGGAGTCACCCTCAGGATAGGCTTGTCCCCTCCGAGCATCCTTACTTTGGATCCAGGAGTAATTCTGAATTAAACAGAGGTGGCTAAAAAGGAGGAAATAGCTTTTTCCTTGATCCTAAGTCATTGTTGAGTGTGGGATACCCTTAGAGTTGATAGAATAATGCTTTAGGGAAAACACTACTACATTTAAAATACTCTGAGATACTAATTTCAGAAACTTTAAAATGTGAGGGGGGAAAAAAAAAACATGTTCCCTTTTTGGAACAGCCCCTTAACCATATGCACAGAATGCCTGTGTTTATTCATACCAACTAGAGTATGTGGGTTCAGTGGTTTTGGGGAACTTGATGGTCAGCATGTTCCCTCACGGGATGTTGGCCTCTGTGCTTCCTGTACTGGAAGCTCATTGATTTTTTAGACTGGCTACCCGCAGTGTCCCAGAGCAGCTCCCAGCAATAACCAAGATGGTGGGTGCAGGGCGTAATCAGGGTGCAGGCAACCAGTGCGGGGCTGCTGCTAGTGCCCGAGTTCAAGATTAAACTAGCACCACTGCTTGTCAGTTTTTTGAAATGAGGCCAAGTCCGCCACTTCTAGCACTCTGATCTGTTCCTATCTCATTCTTAGATGAAAAGGGACGATTTAAGCTCCATGAAGTATGTGGAGCTCTACATCGTGGCGGATTATGCGGAGGTAAGGGGGAGGCGATGGGTTTCAACAGAAAAACTGGCTCTTTTGATCGCTTCCGCTCCAGGTTTCCAACTGCTTTGGAGGAATGATGAAGCAGTCATCTGTCCCTGGTTTGTCATATGATTGAGCTTAAATTCAACCGAAGGCTCTTTTTGCTATTTTAAATGTAGTTGGGAAGGGGAAAAAAATAGGAAAAGGCTCTTTTAGCTTGATACGCTCATCAGATAAAAAAAGAAAAACCAGTAGAATTCACATTATTTGGATTAACATTTTTTAAAATATTAAAACCTGAAGACCTTTTAGGTTTTGTACTTATTCATGGGAAGTCAATGAATCCTCTGTAGAGATTTTAAAATAATTTTTTTGCACAGATAATAAATGCATGCATTCTGAGTCACCTGATTGAGTACATTTTTCTTGCCCACGAACGGGCCCATTTTTATAATCGGGTTGGTGCTCAATGAATACCTGAAGCTGTGGGTCCTGAAACGTGGTCCCTGGACCAGTAGGATCAGTAGCCCCCAGGGACTTGTGGAAAAGCTAATTCTCGAGCTGCGCCCCCGGGACTCCCAAATCCTAAACTGTGGGGCTGGGTCCCACAATCCATGTTTTCGCAAGCCCTCTGGGTGCTTCTGACACACGGGCAAGTGTGAGAACTACTGACCTGGAGGAATAGCTGTTTGGCCTTTAGTCCCAGGTTCCTCAAGTGAGACAGGTTCCCGCAGGCCTGGACCTCTAAGAGCTGATGAACACTCATCTCTCTGTCTCTCTCTTTCATTTCATTTATTCATCAACGATTTCTTGATTCTTTATCACGTGCCGCACCCAGTGCTCGGCCTCAGGAGGCATAGACAGACCCGCCCCTGGGATCCGAGAGCCCACAACAGCAGCACGGAACAGGGTCCTCGAGCGGTGCCATAGCTGCTGAGATGTGTCATTGCCTAGGGGGAGGGTGCAGATACCGAGGAATCCAACATGGCAGTTTTGGAAATAGGGGAAATCTTCTCCAAGGTGGTGATGTTAAAGTTGACACCAGAAGAACGGGTTCAAGCCCTGGAGCCCACATTTGCCTAAATTAGCCACATTTTACCTCATTTCTCACTTTATGTCGTGACTCAACCATGTAACCAAGCACAGCTTCTGTGCATGGGAAGCCGCAATGAGCCGACTGTGCCCTAAGTCCACACACTCGTCCAGGGCTCCCCTTAGGACAGAACGCAGCCAAGCTCTAGTCTGTCTCATGCCCAGTCCAAGTGGCTTAGTGGCCGGCTCCCCTAAAGGCCTCCTTCTGAGGTCGCTGCGTGCAGTCTGCAGTCCCAGCGCACAGATCCGGAGGCCATGCAGAGTGGTGGGGAGAACGCTAGACTTGAGGCCTGGAGGTCGGCTTTTGTGTGTTAGTGGCAGGAGGAGGTGGCCCTGGGGCTGTGTGAAAGGACGAGGACTCGTTACTGGGCAGAGAGGTGGAGGGGAACGGCATTCCAGGCTGGGGAACATCGTGTTCTGCTTTGAGGAGTTCGGCTTTTTAATTGATGTCAGTATTGATTTTAAGCAGCCTTTTCTTTTCCTTTCCAAAGACTGGTGTGTGTGTGTGTGTGTGTGTGTGTGTGTGTGTGTGTGTGTGTAGAATGTGTGTGTGTGTGTGTGTGTGTAGGATGGAGGAGCAGCGTGGGGAGCGAGCTCCAAAGCTGATTTAAAAGCCAAGGTTCTGCGGTCATGGGAGGAGGTGACCGTCACCGGCCCCCAGTGGGGAACGTTGCTGGAAGAAAGCTGAGCTCTACTGACTCTGGGATATTTTTTTCATTTAAGCTCTGCATCTGAGGTCATCCGATACAGTGTTCTTGAGCCGCTGTTTTCAGCCTCAGGATCCTTGGTTCAGAGGACAGCTCCTGGGACCCCAGTAGATAAGCATATGGAAACATAGCCACTCTGTTGTAAAGGTGGGGTGACCCTCTGCTTCACCCCTCTACTCTCCCCTGTGGAATCTTGGTGCAGGGTTTTAAAACCCACTGGATGTGAGTCTCTGGAAGCCAGAGAAGCAGGGGCAGGGTAGGGATTGAGTATCTTTAGTCTCCTGACCCCCACAGTCACAGAAACCCCCCAAAAGGAAGAGTGCTGGAGGTGCCTTGGGGTCTGCATGTTGCCTAGAGCCATCGTCCTGTGTCAGAGGAGAGTGCCTTCCGCAGCAGCTGACTGACAGGCGGGATCCGTGCTGCCTGGGGACAGGGAACTTGCTGCTTTCTCAGGGTCCTGGGCTTTGGATGAGTCACAGGAGGGGTGGAGTGGGGAGTCAGTAGGCCAGGCTGGCTCTCAGGCTCACAGATCCCTCCCCTTCCTCCTCTCCCCCACTCCCTCTTCAAGCGGCCTCCCATCCTCTGCTGGCAAAAGTGTATGCCTGACAATTAATGTGAAAGGATGGGAAGACCCTGGGCGGGAGGGCTGCCTTATCTGTGATTTACAACCTGGTGCTCAGACAGGCCAAGCTCCTCCTCTGGGCTCTGCACAGGGAGCAGGGGCAGGGATAGTGTTGCTGCCTAGAGAGAGGGAGAGAGCACTGTCCACTGTGCAAATGACCGAGCAGCTGCTCACTCCCTGGGCCTAGGAGGGGTGCCTGGGGTGGGGCTCAGCGTACTGCTGCAGCTGAGAGGGCAAATCCAGGGGAGGGAGGAGCAAGGTGGGGTATTGCAGACGGGGACAGAACAGCTGTAAAAGTGGGAATACAAAACACGTCCCTGATGCAGGCAGGAGGCAAGGCAGTTGGAAAAGGCCAGGCGATGCACCGTGTTTCCCTTTCTCTGTCGCCCTAGAAAGTTGAAGGTTGAGATGGCCCTTTCTTTAGATCAGGGTTCTGCAAGCTATGGCCCACCCCATGGTCCAACCCAGCCCACCGCATTTTTGTAAATGAAGTTTTACTGGACCACTTCTGTGCCTGCTGCTGTGTGTATTGTCCGTGGCTGCTTTTGAGCTGTATGATGGCAGAGTGGAGTAGTTGTGACAGAGACAGTATGGCTGTAAAGCCTAAAATATTTACAGTCTGTCCATTTAAGAAAACATTTGCTGACTCCTACTCGAGACTCCTCTGGACAACAGGACACAGCCCTAGAACTGTGGTGGTATTATCAGGCGGTTGCTTGAAGATAGGAGTAATTGAAAGGCAATGAAATATGGCTCTGATTTTATAATCAATATTCACTGAATACTGAAACACTTTCTGTGCACGAGACCGGTCTAGAAATGGGATGACTCTATAATGAGAAACTTCAGGATCAACACCTTGTAAAGGTCTAAGTCACATGCCTGGCATTGAATTTAACTCTCAGAAGGCAATGGTGAAAGTGAGACTATTGACAGTTCTGATGAGTGACAGTCACAAGGAAGCTTGGGGAAGTCCAAGTGCAGTGGAAGAATAGGAAAGGGTGGTTTTCTCCCCTGAATCATGGAGGGGACATCCCCATCACAGCCAGCATCACAGGGAGTTTTATTTAGCTATTCTTTTGTTTCTTGTTTGGATATTCTTTTGTTGTTGTGTTGTTGTTCAATTACAGTTGTCCTCATTTTTGTTTGAATGTTCTTGCTGGATAGGGTGGAGGAAGGGCATGAAGGTTAGACTCGACGTAACATACATGGCTGTGTATCCCAGGTAAATCAGATAGGTACCCAGACTCTATGTAACAGTGGTAGGGGATAGGACATACCCATCACTTGCAAATTTAGGGGAATTGTGGTACATTTTATCTTTACACTGCGAAGCTGTTTTTCATCATTGCTGTTCAAAGAGAGCTACCTTTTTGAAGCAGAAAGGATGAATGTGGGACCACATACTGAAATGTCCTGGTATCCATGGCAGGCATTTCTAATCGAGCACAGCCCTCTTCCCTGTTGAGTTGCACGCAGCCTCAGAATTCTTCTCACTTCTCACTCAGACGGACGGGCGCTGCTAGTCCGTCTGAGTGGCGGGCCGGACCAAAGCCAAGGTCTTATGATCCTCGACACCAACACCCATTCTGTATCACTCACGTGGCCTCTGATGGCAGTTATTTCTGTCCACATTTTCTCAGTGCATTTCCATTATACACTCCCTAAATACAGAAGCTGCCACTGTGGTTATTTCTGGTTCTCTGTCTGTTTTCACCGAAGCTCCTCTGGGCCAGTCCCAGGCTCCCAGTCCTGTGCTCCCACCTGGTGTCAAGCACAGTGCCTTGCCCATGGCAGGCGTTCAGTAACGTTCGACCCCTGTTGATGGACCACATGTAGGGGGACGTGTTGCAACCCTGTGATGGCGGCTTTATGTTGGGGTGACGACCGAGGCAGGGATCGAACTGGTCCCTCTGCTAAGGCCCGGTGAGAGTGTGCGGGAGGCCTCCTCCTTTGGAGGATGGGAGAACAGGGTTGACTTCAAGAGCTGGAGAAAGAATTCAGTTCACTGCACAACTGCTGCATGCACAGCACCAGGCCTGGCACGGAGCTGGTAGTTGGGGACACTGGATAGACCTGACCTGGGCTCTGCTGTCCCCGAGCTGGCACTGTGTGTGTGTGGTGGGGAGACAGCTGTGTAAATGCGATGCCCCTAGAAGATGGAAGGAAGTAAATACTAATTCAAGGACAAGTAATGGGTGTGGGAGGGGTCCTGAGAGGGGTTCTGTGGGGCTTACCTCTTACCTAGTTCTGCTTGTCCCATTCAGTTTCATAAGAACGGACGAGACCAGGATGCCACCAAGCACAAGCTCATGGAGATCGCCAATTACGTTGATAAGGTGAGACCAGGTGTGTACTTTGTGGGAAAAGTGCCAGCACCTCAGAGGACAGGAGATCACGTAGCACCTGAGCTGCCTCCTGGTGGCCTGGCCAGCCCAGCCGGTTTCTGAGAGGGACCACAATGCCACAGAGGCCCGGGGTGGTCTGACAAGGCTCTGCTACGTGACCAGAGCCATGGAACTCCTCTTCTGTGGCTGGAAGTTTTGTATTGTTTTGTGTTGAATTTACATAATAGAGGGGTTGGCCTAAATCAGTGGCTTTGGATTATTTTTATTTTTCTGCTGGAATCCTTTTTTTAAAAATGAAATCTTATGCCACTTTCTATGTAATGTAAGCCCTGACACTGGTTATTTTTTTCTTTTTATTATAATGCAAGTTCCTGGCTTGAGCTCTGATGGCCCAGGCCTTCATTCCAGAGGGGCACCCACTTCAAAGTGGGCTGTCTCTACAGACACTTTGCTGCCGCGGGACTAGGGAAGGAGCCAGGCCGCCTCCCTCCACTGAGGCTCCTTTGTTGTAGAGATCTTGGGTGATTTCAGTAAGTGACCATTTGGGCTACTTGTTTTTTTTTTCTTTTCCTGTGTTTTAAATTCCCACCCTGTGCTTTAAATTCGGCAGTGAAGAGCGAACCCTCAAGGACCCGGGCCCCCACCCTTCCCCACAATGAAAGCAGCATCCAGGCCCATTCTCTCTCTTTCCTCACCCCCACCCCCACCCCACCTCGCTGTGTGGCCCCAGATGTGCTGTGTAATTTCCAGGCCTTATAAAGAATAAACCTGTATCTTTTCAGTTTCCTGATAGTTATTGCTGAAGGGAGTCTTGCATGCATAATGAGAACCACAGGGCTGGTCCAGCTATGTGACACTGGTTATTAATAGGCTGAGACCAGTGCAAAACGGTCCAACATAAAAGTCAGACGAAACGGACTGCCCTAAGCTGAAGCAGGGGTGAGGGCTGAGAGCGTTGTCCTCTGACCCCTTCCCTTCCTCCCTGCAGTGGCTCCAGAGAACTGAGGATGTAGAGGAGCTCAGTTGAAGAAAGCTTTAGGGTTCTCTAAGTTTCCTTCTAGGAACAAAGCCCAGGGGTTCTCAGACTTGGGAGAGATTTGAGGTAGGTCAGCAAGGGAAAGTGACAGAATCATAAAAGTTGGGGAGTGGTGTTTGGGGACCTGTCTGTATAGTCTCCATCTGTAAAATGGTTCTAAAATTATTTCCTGTCTCAGAAAGACCATGCAGATGGTTAACTTTCCTAGGGCAGACCTCCTTAACATGCTCTTAGGAAATACCCAAAATTCTTGCATTTTACTAGAATGGGCTGGTCTGGGACATGGAAATAGTTTGGTTTTTAAATATATATATATATATTAGTATTTGCTATAGTGCAAAGTGCAGTAGAATGGGCAGCCTAGACTCTTGATAGGCTAGTAGTAGTTTTAATATGTAGATTTTTAATATGTTTGGGGTCACAAATCTTTTTGAGACTCTATTTAAACATTTATAGTACAAATTCAGAGTACCCACAGAACTTCTGAAGCTTTAACTCTGGGCCTTTTAAGGATTTGTGGAGCCTAGGCTAAAAGGAGAAATCATCCTCTCCTAAACACTGGAATATAAAGGAGAAAACTTGGGTATTTTTAAGGGATTTAAAAGCAAAGTTGGTAGTACTCGGAATCACCAGGTGGGAACGTCTGGGTCACGCGTGTTCGTTCTGTCCAGATGGCTCTGGAAGTTGCGGGCAGTGACCGGTGGAAGTCACCCCTGGCATTTCCCGGAAGGAAGGGCTTCAGCGACACAATCCAGTTGTCTCTCGCTCTTGACTCACTCCACACACAGTAACATCTGAATGATCCTACAACCCAAGCACTCAGCATCTGGGAGAACAAGAGCAGCTTGGTCCCTGGGGTGCATGCAGGAGGCAGACCCCGTTATTACCCACGTGACAGCTATTGTTCTAGGGACCTGGCAGGTGGGAGACTTGGCTGGGTCTCCCGTTTTGAACACTCCAGTCAGTCTGAGTGGTAGAACCAAGGGTGCTGATGAAAAAATAGAAGGAGAAGAGAGCGAACCCCAGGCCATCCTTGAGGCTCCCGGCGTGGCTGTCCAGGCCATTCATTCTGTGCTGTGGTCTCAGTCCTCTCCCCAGCAGCTGATGTCTGTCATTCCTGGCTGGAAGGCTGACCCGCTTCTCCGAGGCTTGCTGACCCAGCTACTTGAACTGAACTATTGTTGAACCAAACCTGGAATGAACTGCACTCATTTGCTGCGTCATGAACCCAATCCAAAATGTGTTTCCTTAACCATGAAAAAGCCAAGTTTAAGTCCTTAAAAAGCTCCCTAGTGAAGCAAGTTCAAATTGGAATCTGAACTTTTTCTTTTCTGTAATGATTGGCCTGGCACAGAACAGGAAAATCAAAATGTCCATTGAGGTCAGCCGCATCTGGAACCCGTCCTGCTCCACCGTTTGTCGGAGGCAAGTGGATCGTCTGGATGAGAAGACGCTTGCGCTGGAGCAGAGCAGGGTCAAGGGTCGGCTCCGAGAGCCGATCATTTTGGCTTTAATCCTGACTCCATCATTTTTCTGCTGAGACTCTGGGCAAGGTCCTTATGAACTCGAAGCCTCGGTGCTTCGTACCTAGAAAGTGCTCGTTTTTTTTTTTTGTTTGTTTGTTTGTTTTTTCAGCTGGGGCAGTACCTGCTCAGAGTCATCCAGTGTTGGATTAAATGGTATCTCCTTGCTCGTGTCACCTAGGTTTCCACGCAACTTTTGTCTTTTTTAAGTCAGTGCCTCAGTGTTCTCTAGGCTATGCCAGTTAACGAATTTCTTATTCCCACACCCTCTAATAGTTAGCTTTAAAGAAAGCACTCATCCTGCTTATGTGTATACGACGTGAAAGGTACTATGTGACAAAGGTTAAATACAGTTGTACTCTTAAGGATCCTGAGAGTCAGGTCTCATTTATATAGAATTTCCAAACCTTTGGGTTGGACGGAACCCTGAAGATTGTATGTCTGGCCCTTTGCAGTCTAATGCTTGCAGTGGATGGTATCCTTGGTGAAAGCTAAACACCTCCAGCGATGGGGAAGGAAACTTTTGAGAGTAAGCATATCTACCTACTTGTAGATCATGTCTACCCATTTACTTCCAACATGAGTGGGGAGATCTTACAATAAAATATCCATATACAATTGGGTATATCCATACAGTGGAATACTACTGAACCATCTGAGATTTATAAGCTCCTTCCTAGCATTGACAGATGAAGATGATGCTCTGGCTTTTCTGTTTCACCAGTTTTACCGATCCCTGAACATCCGGATTGCTCTCGTGGGCTTGGAAGTGTGGACTCACGGCGATTTGTGTGAAGTTTCGGAGAACCCCTACTCTACCCTCTGGTCCTTTCTTCGTTGGAGGCGCAGGCTGCTCATTCAGAAGAAACACGACAATGCACAGTTAGTCACGTAAGTAGCCCTTCCCATACGCGTTGCCATGGCGTTGGCTGCCTGCCCACAGAACATGCGCTTTCTGCCCCTTCCCTTCCCGATGCTGAATGTTGGCTGCACTAGGCCGCCCGACTCTCTGGTCCCTGTAATCAAGTATTTCTCAGACAGGTACTCTGTGCCTAGCACACGCTGGAAAATATTAAAAAGCCTGAGGGTCATAACAATCCCCAAAAGTATTTACCATCTAGATGAGGAAATGAGACCTACGCATATTCAGCTGAGTGTCTGAGAACACTGAGTGTGTACTTGGCAACTGACTGACTATTAGCCATGGGCAGCTTTGAAACGGACTTTCTGAGGGGCTCATCTTCTTCATCTTGGAGCTTGTTCTAGTCCAGAGCTAACCTCCTGAAGCTGGCGCCGTCGGGGCGGGGGTGGGGCAGCTGCCTGGGTTGTCCTTAGTTCCTAGAGGCTTAGGACTGCCCGCCCAAGATAATCAAAGTGACAGGGACTGTGTGCCTGGTGGGAGGCAGACGTGGAGGGGGTGGGGTGAGGATTCTGTTTCTTTCATCCCAGAGAGAAAAAGAGAAGACATCAATGAGGGTCATGGTGGCATGTGACAGTCCCCTGGGGGTGACTGTCTAGTTTTTTATTAGGGTTGACTTCCAAAGGTATCCAGAGGCAGTTTCAGCAAAGGCATGTATATAATCAAATCATTTTTTTCTTTTCTTGCCTAAATGCTTTTCTGAATTAGCAATCATTTCAACATTTGTTTACTCTAAAAAAAGTCCTGGTGCACCCCATTCATTTTAAAATATAATGCCGCATAGAGCCCTGGCTGGTGTAGCTCAGTGGATTGAGCGCAGGCTGCGAACCAAAGTGTCGCAGGTTTGATTCCCAGTCAGGGCACATGCATGGGTTGCAGGCCACGGCCCCCAGCAACCACATACTGATGTTTCTCTCTCTCTCTCTCTCTTTCTCCCTCCCTTCCCTCTCTAAAAATAAATAAAATCTTTTAAAAAAAATAATGCCGCATTGCCCTTTCTAAGTGGTTTATCACTTCAGCTTTGGTTTCCCTTCTAAGCCAAGAGTTATTTAGAAGTTATTAGATGTTATCTAGAAGTTTTTAAACTAAAGCTTGTTTAATTTTTTTTTAATTTCAAAAATAATTGAAAAAGACCTGGGAAATAACTACACCAAAAACCTGGGCAGTGAGCACATTCACCTCAGAAGAGTCTTGGGGTTACCGAGACTTTGGGCCTGAACTTGGGAAGCGTCGCGTCCTGCTTTGGGCAAGACCTTGAACCTAGGTTTCCAGCTGGACTTCCTCAGAGCCATTGTCTAAGTTTATAAAATCACCAGTTGTACATGTTTTGTGTATTCCTTTGCATCTTGTTTCTCTGAAGAAGAGTCTGCCTTAACTTCATCACACATTTATTAAGCATCCACCGTGTTTCAGATTCTAAGTTCTGGTGACCCCAAAATATGTAAGATGGTCTCAGCTCTCAAAGATGTCAAGCTGTAGATAGGACAAGCACAGAGGTGTCAAAGTACCACACAATGACTTTCGACATAGACTTTAAATTACATGTTCATGGCGTGCCTGGAAACACTGGGTTTCATTTACTTCTTGATCCCTGTGCTGGATGGATACGGCCAGAGAGAGATGAATTAAACGGGGGGAACGGAGCTTGCCATTGGCAGATTAGGATCAGAATTGCAAAACAGAGGCAGAAATAGGCCGGTCATTCTTGCACCCAGCTGCACTTCTTGACACTTCTGATGGGACACATCTGTTTCCTTGGCCCCCGAGTGATGTAAGAATGAAGCATCACCACCTACAGCTGCTGCCCCAAATGCCCCGCACCCTCCCCCAGGGCCAGGCATGTGGCATGGGACCCCGGCAGCTGGCGGAAGTGGGCCCGATTCCCTTCAGTATCAGAGCCTGTGCTGTTCTCCCCCCACGCCCCCGCCCCCCGCCCTGCGACCTTTTCCTGTGCAGCAGGAATGGGATGCAGCTTTGCAAGCCCTGCCCATTTCCTTCCAGAGAACAGGGTTATGGGCATATTGTGGGGAAAAGTGACCTTTTACTCTCTCTTTCTGTTTTTCTAGAGCAGTGAGAGAGTGGGTTAGAGGAAGTCAGAGGTGTGGCAGCCTGGGATGTGTCCACCTGGCCTGTGATACCAGGGCCTCTCCCCTTGGGAACGGTCTGGGAGTGGCAGAAGGGCCAAGGGACACCATGATGGCCACGTGCCCCTGGGCACATAGAAACAGCCCTCTCAGTCCCCTCCGTAGTCACCCTGTCGCCTTCCCTCCTGCAGGGGCAGGTCTTTCCAGGGCATCACCATCGGCCTGGCCCCGCTCATGGCCATGTGCTCCGTGTACCAGTCTGGAGGAGTCAACATGGTGAGTCTCAGCTGCCATGCGGGTGTTGCAGAAGGCAGAAAACTCTCTCTCAAGACAGGAGGTCATCTTGTCAGAAATAATCATTATGAGAAGAGAAGCTTTGAAAGAGAAGCTTTGACATCACAAAGTGCAATTGTTTAAAATGAAGTCATAAGTGATAAGGGATGGAGGTGCTGGGGTGAATTTTCATTGATTGCAGTTTATCCCCAATTTTCAAGTTCAGGAGAACCCAGAAGCGATCACATTACTGCATCACTGGGTCTTTCATAGCTTCCAAACTGTGGGCTGGGGGGTAGTGAGATGACAGAGATGAAAAACATTTTTTATGTTTTCTAGGTTTCATGTTATGTGTATCATTATGAAATAAGAGCTTGTCTCAAAGTCATGGTTAGGAAATGACTGCCTTCTTTTGAACTTTCTCTGACTTTGTGACCACTTATCAAATGACTTTGAGTGTTCACTTCTGACGTGAGCAGTAGATATCCCAGAGCCTGCCATCCACTCTTTGTCCATCCTCTGTCCATCCCATGTGATTGGCAGGTGCAGCGTGTAGTTAAAAGCATGGGCTTTTGTCGAGCTGTGAGGCTTGACCAAAGTAAAGGCAGAGTCGGGGGTTGGGGACAGCAGTCTTCTTGACCTGAATCTCTCCCTGGGCAGGACCACTCTGAGAATTCCATTGGCGTGGCTGCCACCATGGCCCACGAGATGGGCCACAACTTTGGCATGAACCACGATTCTGCCAACTGCTGCCCAGCCAGCGAGGCTGATGGTGGGTGCATCATGGCAGCGGCCACCAGGTGAGTCAGGCAGGAAGGGGAGGACGGGGCGGAGGGCAGGGCTTGCACAACCCAGTGCTCCTCCCAGCTGGCCCCAGGGAGCCTCTGTTAGAACTTGGAGAGAGATGTGCTTTTGACACCGAAGAGATGGGAGGAGGGCAAAGAAAGGAAGGGCATGTAAGGAGCACTAGGTTTCTAGCAGGTGGCTTGGTACTGGTGAGACCCTAGATAGATTTAATTTTGTCTTAGGTCTTCAATGGCAAACCTGGCCTGACTACACGTGTCTTTTTCTCTTCATGAATTTTTGATGAGTGGTTTTGGTAACAATCACAGTTCTCAGTTCCTCCATTCCAAGGGAGCTTGGTGCGTGCTGTCCCTTCCCAGGCCTGATAGAAAGTGCTGATGTGGTCTTCAGAGCCAGGAGAAGAAAGAGAAGCATGTGTACACCCCACAGTGACCCCTCCAGGAGTTTACAGGCTGTGTTTACCAGGAGAAACAAGCGCAAGGCAGCAGCATCTCCCCATAGTTGTGAGGGGTTTTAAACCAGAGCCCTTGAAAGAGTTCTGGAGTTTATTCAAAGGACTTATATTTAGTGTCTGAACTCACTCAGCAAAGAGCACTGGGTTCTTCCAAGACCCGAGTCCTTCCTTGGAAGGCATTATGCTGGGAGGTTATGTTCCTCCCACCCCAAACCATTAAGACTTGCTTATGCTTCTTAAAGAAATGGAGTTTCGGTGTTTCCGAGAGAAAACGCAGCTTTTTTGGAGCTCTAGTGGCCCGTGTTTTCGCCATCCCCTCTCAGCTGTGACACGCAGGAAACAACTCTGTGGGTCATGCTCAGACCCCATGAGCTCCTGGTGGAGTCCACCTCTCTTTCCCGAGCTAAAAGGCATATTGTAGACAAACCATTGAGAGTTGTGTTAATTCCTACTCCAATTCGTTTTTAAACTATTTGTAAGTTGTAGCAGCTTACCAGTAAAGTCCTTGTGATATGCTGATATGCCTGATGACTCAGGGAGACCCTCTGTGTTTAGCGCCCAGGTGGGTTGGAGAACTGGGGTCGGGCTAGCTCTGTTGCAGACCCAATGGCAGTGCTGACCTGCTACCAGGGACCGTATGACTTTTAATTCTTTTTCCCAGTAGTGGGACCCAGGAATTTTATACCCTTTGTGATAAAGACCCTGCATTTGTGAGTTGGCTGGCTGAGTTTGGAGTAGCACCCATGTCCTTAGTACGAAGATCAGATCACTGGTTCCACAACCAAAAATTAAACCCACGATCCCATCCCTTTCTGGCCGAGTCTTCTGTCCCAAGAAAATCTCTGTCTAATATCGGCTTCAGAAAGAAGTTTGGGTTGGTTGGTGTTGTATTTGGCTCTAAGGCTTGAGAGACCTATTGTAACACTTACGCTCCTTTGTGTGTTGCAACCCCTTTGTGCAAAGGGCAGAGACTGCTGCTTCTGATTCTTAGATACTTCCTCTGTGCAGAAGGGGTGAAAAGACCATTCTGGGGTGATTAATATTTCTTAATTCTTAGAAGGAATTGCAAGTTAATATATTGACGATGTTTGGTAAGGGCAGAATGTACGTGCATGGCACCATCGGGGGTCTGAGTCCCTTTAGGGGGAACCAGCCCCGTGGGCAGCAGGATTGACAGCTGTTCTGGCTGCTTGGTGCTCAGACGTCCAGCTAACTCCAGCCTCACTCTCCAGCCATCCTTTCCCCAAAGTGTTCAATGGATGCAACAAAAGGGAGCTGGACAGGTATTTGCAGACAGGCGGCGGGATGTGTCTCTCGAACCTGCCGGACACGAGGACGCTGTACGGAGGCCAGCGATGCGGAAACGGGTACCTGGAAGACGGGGAAGAGTGTGACTGCGGGGAGGAAGAGGTAAGGTTTCCTGGCCTCAGAGGGAGGATCTGCATTCGTTTCAAGGCTCCAGTCCAAAGAGGACGAGAAGTGTCTTGGTTGTGCGCATGTCCTATAACATCACAAACACGATGTGGAGAGCAAGCCTTGACGATGGGCCACTTGTGCAGACTCGCCCCGTTTGAGGTCGTTGTCACTGTGTGTGTCCAAGCTGGGGTGGGGTGTTCCTAGTGGGTGTCTGGTCTACCCAGAGGCCACAAGCTTCACCAGGGCAGTGGCAGGTGGCCCTTTTAGCCTTCCAGACGCACTGAATTTAGTCTGGAAGCCACACAGCTGGTCATATGAACTTGAATCTGGGCCATATGAGGATGCTTAAAATAATAAGTTCGTACTGTTCAGCCTGGAGAAGAGATGATTGAAAGAGGAAGCAGGAAATATGGTCAAGTCTGAAAAGGGCTGTTAGGAGGAGGAAGGAACAGAGCTGTTTTGATCTTGAAAATGAGTGTGACAAGCATGCGGCATAGCCCTGTCGCTTTGAATGGACACGTGTTGTTCTGCAAAAAGCAGAACTAAGTAGTTTTATCTTTATTTTTGGAAGGGTGAAAATATGTACCTTAACATGAAAACAATTTGGGGGAGAATACATGAGTAACAGTTAGCTGTGGGGGATGAGATTTTGGGTCTGTGTACGTGGGAAAGACTGTTGGATTTTATAACCTTCCCTGTGGTTTGATTGGTTTTTAAATGTCAGCAAGTAACTTTCAAAGTAAAACAAGACCCAGCTAAAGGCTCTGCTACCCCATCGCCGAGAGTTCACAGCAATCGGCCCAGACCCTTCAGAAGGGAGGGTGTTGTATTATCTCGGGGCGCACCATGGGGTTGAGTAGCAGCCCAGCCCACCAGTGGGCTCAGCTGGTTGGCTTATATTTGGAGCAGTTGCTGATTCCACAAATATTTACTGAGTTGGGCGCTAGGCCCAGGACAAATATAGCAAAAGTAGATGTGGTCCCTGGCCTTGTGGCACATTTAATATAGTGAGGGAAGCACAAATTGACAAAATAGTTGCAAAAGTACCTAAATACTAGGAGGGCCAATGGCAAGGTGCTATGAGTTTATGTAGGATGAGGGGAGCGGCCCTACCTGGGTGAGGGTGTGACCTCTGACCCCATATCCAAGGGCTATTGGGAGTTAGCTGAGAGTACGAGGAGAGAAGGCACCTTTCAGTCCAGGGAGGGGCCATGCCTTGAGGTGGGAAGAGACAGGGTACGTTGGAAGGGAAGGATTTGCCTGGAGCTCAGGATGGGGGGAGATTACTGGAAGGGAGGTGTTCTTATTCCCTCTGTAGGGAGGACGGGTGGATCTCCAGTTAGGCAGTGGCACGTGTCGCTCCAGTAGGCCAAACCTGCACAGTAACGTTTATGATGTGGTCAATAAGCATGGAGTGGGCCCCCGGCAGACGTGGCTGGACTTCCGCTCCCACACTTGCCAGGCGCATGCCTTGAGCAGCCATGGGACTTGTCTGAGCCACAGTTTTCCCGTCTGTGAAGGGGACCGATCCTGCCTCTCAGGCTGTGATGGTTGGTCCTGTGCGAGCGGCCCGGCACGGTGTCGAGAGCTGTGAACTGTGATGACAGTAGGAGTATTATGAGGACACTCAGAGGCGCTGGCCATCAGTCATTCTTTTAAATCTCATGCTGTGTGTCAGCAAATGAGGACCAGTAGGGCAGGAAGGAAGAGAAAGGAGCGTGGAACCCCAGGAGCCCTGTCCCGGAAAGGCCTGCCGGCGAGGGTCAAGGAAGAGCAGCAGGTGGTGGGAGAAATCCGAGGAAGCGGGCCCCTGGGGCGGACAGAAATGGCTTCAAGCTGGTGCCGGATGTCCTTGCTCCCCGTGGCCTCTCTGGATGGTCTAGCAAGGCCGGGGGTGGGGCGCAGAGAGGGCAGCGTAGAAGACAAGAGTCTTGGGGTGTTCTACTGTGGGCAAGAAAACAAATCACAGAATTCCCGTATAGTGTAATGCTATACTGAGAATCGTGTTGGAAGGATACATGATTATAAGGAGAAGCGTGCATATGATATTACGTCACGGAGCAGTTCGGATACCATGATTTTATAACGTTTCTGTTTATAGGAAAATGCCTGGAAAAATACCCACCCTCAGAATGGAGTTGTGTCTGAGTTGTGCTGAGACTGTTGAGTGTGTGTGTGTGTTTATAGTAAATACACATTACCTTAGCGATTAAGCTATAAAGTGATTTTTTGGGAAAGCCTTCTAGGGCCCCAGGGCCCCAGGGCCCCTATGTGAGGAGGGGCGGGGGTGGGGAGGTACGGGAGGTGGGTGCAGGCCCTGAGCCCGCCCAGACTCCTGTCTCGGGTCCCGCTGCCCCAGAGGCTCACGCCCTCTTCCGTTGCCCCCCAGGAATGTGAAAACCCCTGCTGCAATGCCTCTGATTGCACCCTGAGAGAGGGGGCCGAGTGCGCCCACGGCGCCTGCTGTCACCGGTGCAAGGTGAGTGGCCCTCCCCGCCGCCCAGGGTTCCGACCTGACAGCCCAGTGCCCTGCCACGGCCGTGATGGACAGGGCGCAGCCTCTGTCTTGGGGAAGAGGGGGGCCTCAAAATTTCAGAAACATGGAGCCGGGACCCTCTGAACACATAATGAGCACACAGGGGTATGCGTGTAGATGTTCAGGGCAAAACGTGTGTGTAGACAGTCTGCATGTATGTGTGTGAATGGGTCTGGATATTTGAATATGTGAGTTTATAATATGCCCGTGTGTGTGTGTATCTCTGTGTACATATGAATGCACCTGGTTCTTGTGCCGTTGACTCACCATGAGACTTTGGGCACATTAACCTGTGCTGTCTCGGGCTTTATAATCTTTAAAACAGAGGTCATTATATCGCATAAAACTGTCATGAAAACTAAACAGAGCAATATTTGTACTGGGCCCTCACGCGGGAGCTCCAGCCAAGTACGTGTTATTGCTGAAGCGCTTAGTCAGGTGTAGATTGTTGCATAAATATTATTTCTTACCTACTTCTATGAAGAGGAAGTGAGTTAGCATTTGTGAAAACACCTGGACAACTCAGGTCACTGTTTGGAGGAGGCTAGCGCCTGTTTGAACCAGCGAGGTCATGTAAAATGGTAGTAATGGGAAATTCTGCTCCGCCGGAGTGAGGCTCCCAAGCCCTTTGCCAGGAGGGGTGAGGGCAGGCAAAACATTGATATTTTTCCCTCTTCTCCTCGGCTCAGCTGCTGGCCCCTGGCACGCTGTGCCGCCAGCAGGCCCGGCAGTGCGACCTCCCAGAGTTCTGCACGGGCAAGTCTCCCCATTGTCCCACCAACTTCTACCAGATGGACGGCACCCCCTGTGAGGGCGGCCAGGCCTACTGCTACAATGGCATGTGCCTCACCTACCAGAAGCAGTGCCAGCAACTGTGGGGGCCTGGTAAGTGAGCTGCGGTGAGCGGCCCTCGTCCCACGCCCCCCCCCCCACCCGCTGAGCATTGAGTCCTGGCTTCCAAACAGCATCTCCAGATCCTACTCTTGGGTCAGGGCAGACTTCCAGGGGGAGGCAGTGGACTGGGCTCCCCCCAGTTCCTCAATGCTTTATGTCCACAGAGCAGGGAGATGGATGAGAAAAACCCAAAAGTGCAGTGGGCAGAGGATGGAGATAGAAACGGAAATGCAAACACCCTCGCCTATAAGGTGTTTGCCCTCCTTCGTGTTAAGTGAAATCTAATTATAACTACTGTAAGATAGCGTTTTTTATATATCAGATTGGCAAGGACTGAGGAGTTGATGTAATGACGTAACAGTGATAATAGCACTGTGACAACACAACAAAAACGGTAATGACACAGCAGTGTGGGGAGTGTGGGGAACCAGATACAACCCCTGGGGAGAGCAATTTGGAGATACAGAGATGTCCAATGCGCTGATCATGGGACCCGTCCATTCTACTACTTAGGAATGTACCTCCCACTCTACCTGAACATACACGTGATGGTTAATTTATGAGGATAATTGCTGCAGCATTGCTGGTTACAGCGGCAACTAGAGACATCCGCCATAGGGACGAATTAAATTAATTCTGGTCCAGCCGTACAGTGGGACAGGATGCAGCCGAATAAAAGGAGGCAGCTGTGCACGCTCTGAGTAAGGTCGTCTCCCACAACGAGTTGAGTGAACAGTGCAAGACGCAGAACAGTGAATAGACGGTGCTGTCATTCTCTACTAGATAAATTATCTCGACAAGATGCAGAGGAATTCTATCTAGAAGATATATCGGTATCTATAGAAGATATGTTGTTCATTGCGATTACTCTTCCAGGATGTAGAGAAGTAAGAACTGAAATGGCTAGTTAGAAAAATTCCCAAGACATACTTTATTTCTCTAAAATTTTGCATATGTATTTACCTATTTTTAAAAATCCTGGAAAAGGACAAGGCTTTTTTTTTTTTTTATTAGAGAAAGCTTAACATACAAACCCACAGATATAAAACCTCAATCAAGTATAAAGAACTGATGTAAACTCTTTTTCTGTGAGTAGGAATAAGACAGGCTAATAGGGGGTCTAGGAAGAAAAGGCTGAATATTCTCTCCCAAAAAGCTTTCTTAACCTTGACCCTTTACCAAGAATTGCCTTTGCCCTCTGAGGGGCTTCTGATTGCTACTCAAGTTGGCTGGTGTACTGATCAATGTTTCTTGCCTACTCAGGAGCCCGGCCTGCCCCTGATCTCTGCTTCGAGAAGGTGAATGTGGCAGGGGACACCTTTGGAAACTGTGGGAAGGACATGAATGGGGAGCACAAGAAGTGCAGCTTAAGGTAAGGATCGCAGAGCGGACCCCGTGAGAAGAGCGGGTAACAAAGCAATTCCTGCTCTAGTCCTCCTCCCTTCTGCCCAGCCCGGCAGCTTGGCCAGCCCCAGAGCTGGGCCTTTAAATGAATTGTTCGGAGTCCATCGTTTTGCCCAGGCCCATTGCTGGACAATGCCCCATTCAGCCCTAAGGAAGCCCCGGGGAGGGCGTGGAGGGCAGTGCTTCCTAGAAAGCTGGTCAGACTTCCTTTGGGACCTTTCCACAGTAGGGCAGGGAGTCGGCCTTCTTGGGTCCCTTCTGGAGGGTGCTAAGTACACTCTCATCTGAATAGCCCAGTCGTTCATGAACTCATTCATTCATTCATTCATTCATTCACCTCAGGCATCCACCCACCCACCCATCTATTTATCCATCTGCTCACCTATTCCCTATCTATTGAGGGTTTACCGTGTGCCAGATACTGTGTTGAGAACATGGCACTTTGAATTAACAATGCAGTGGGATACTGGACATGTGGAGAGAGCCACCCAGCCCGATCTTAGTGGGTGGAGGTGGTTTCCCAAAGGAAGCCATGCCTGGGCTGGGAGCTGCACAAACCTCCAGCTGGATCAGGTGGGTTGGGTGCCGGTACATGGGAGAGGGTCCCCAGCAGAGAGATGAGAAGTGGAAAACCGGTGGTCAGAGAACTGATAACAGTGTGATATAAAGTCTAATGTTGGGGTGCACTGTAGAGGAAGCTGCTCAGAAATGAGACCAGATAGTTAGGCAGGGACCAAATCATAGAAAGTCTTCAACACACGGCTGAGACGGTGTGGACTTGACTTGAGAGCCATTTGGAAGTTAGATTGCAGTGACGTGAGACTGGGGGCAGAGGTCAGTTTCTTGGTGTCCAGATAAGAGGGGATGATGGTGTGAATTTAGGTCGATGTATAGGAGGGAGGGTTGACAGGGCCTAAAAATCACTTGAACCCAAGAGTAAGGGAGGAGGGGAATCTTGGGTGGCACCAAACTTCTGGTTGCAGCACCTGGGTGCAAAGGGTACAAGGACCATAGGGGGACAGATTCCTCCATTCAGGCCATTGTCCTTGCAGTAAAGAGCACTCCCTATGTCCAGCTCTTGGCCTGGATCTGCGCAGAGATGAGGCTCCTGTTTCCTTCCCTTGGTCTTGGTCCACCTGGTGGGTTCCTAGAGCGTGCGCATTGGCCCTTTGCCCCTTCCCCAGGCTTGGAAGCCTGCTGTCCTGGTCAAGAAAAGCTAAGCCCTCCTATGCCCCAGCTGTTCCGCAGCCTCTGATTGGCCCTCCTTCTCTCCCTCTCTCGGGCCAGGGATGCCAAGTGTGGGAAGATCCAGTGTCAGAGCTCTGAGGCCCGGCCGCTGGAGTCCAACGCGGTGTCCATCGACACCACCATCGTCATGAATGGGAGGCAGATCCGGTGTCGGGGCACCCACGTCTACCGAAGTCCCCGGGAGGAGGGTGACATTCTGGACCCAGGCCTGGTGATGACCGGAACCAAGTGTGGTCACAACCACGTGAGTCCTTTCCTGCAGCTTCCCTCAGGGGCTGGGCTGCGACCCAGAAGGCAGTGACTGAGAGGAGTGACAGTGACCGAGAAACGAGGGCCGTGGCCAAGCAGTGTGAGCGCTGAAGGGGGTCGCCCGGGCTCAAAGCCCAGCCGGCCCAACCCCTCTGCGCCTGGATGGGCTGGCCGTTATCATGGTCACTTTTGTCCTCATCGTTAATAATCATGTGAAGTAAGCGGTGGACTAGAACGGCAGTTAGAGAAGCCTGGGGAAAAGAGTGGCACCCATCTCTGTGCTAACTATGAGAATGAAGTTCTTAAAAAAAAAACAAATGAAACACTTGGGAGGTAGTACTTGGCACAGAGTAGACTGCTGTCCCTGTCGTCATTTTTAAGCTGCATAGTTGGTTTAGTACAGGATATACAGTTAAGTAACTGATATATAACCGACATACGATAATATAGGATGTAATAACACATTTGTTATCAGATGTGATTTCACAATGTAATGTGTGTTGTTTTCTCACTAGTCACAAAGGTAACGGAGGGATTTAGTTAACTGCTGTCCAGTCTTTGGCTTTTCTGATTTTCAAATGTTCACCGCAGGAGCCTGAAGTGGGCTGCTTTTCCGAGCCCTGTGTGTTCCAGGTTGAGCTGACGGTTCAGTTTCCTCCTCACTGCAGGTCTGCTTCGAGGGACAGTGCAGGAACACCTCCTTCTTTGAAATGGAAGGCTGCGGGAAGAAGTGCAATGGCCATGGGGTACGCCTGCAGAGGGGCGTGGGGCTGGGCAGCTGGGGTCCCGCCCTGTGGGAGGCCGGAGCTCTCCAGGGTGCTGATGTCTCTTTCCTGGGCTCCCTCCAGGTCTGCAACAACAACCAGAACTGCCACTGCTTCCCGGGCTGGGCCCCGCCCTTCTGCGACACTCCCGGCCAGGGGGGCAGCATCGACAGTGGGCCCATGCCCACCGAGGGTGAGTGCCTGGCCTGCTCGGGGCCTCTGCCCACCTTCGTGAGGAGGGGTGGGTGCTGTGGGGGCAGGTGGCCTGTTGTAGAGGGATAATGAATCAACTTCATTATCCAGATTTTGCAGACGAGGGAACAAAAGAAAGAGAGGCCGAATGGGAGGAGCAGCTGCATCTGGCAGCCCGGTGTGGGGCTCAGCTCAGTTGCTCTTCCTCTGTTGTTTCTACTGGGTAGAGTGAATGCTCTTAGAGCGAGAGAGAGGATAAGACAGACTGTAGGTTATTGAATGATCTCATCCTATTGGGGGTGGGGCGGGGTGGCAATCAGTCCTCCTCAGCCACTTAAAAGTAATCATGAACCTGGAGCACATTGTAATGGTTTAGATTCCCTTCCAGGGGTGTCCAACCTTTTGGCGTCTCTGGGACACACTGGAAGAAGAAGAGTTGTCTTGGGCCACACATTTAATACATTGCGACACATAATCGCAAAAACACCTCATGATGTTTTAAGTAAATCTGTGACTTTTGTGTTGGGCCACATTCACGGCCATCCTGGGCTGCGTGTGGCCCGCAGGCCGCAGGCCAGACACCCTTGCTAGGTGGACAAAGCTTAAAATTGTGAGCCACTCAGAAAACCTTGCATTTTTCCACTGGGCATCTCAAGGATTTTAACCTTTTGGTTTCCAAGCCTTTTAAAAATTACCTTTATGATCATTTTTAAGTTAGAATAAGGAATGCATATTAAATGCAAATCAGTATCTGAAGAAGAGTCAGAAAAGGTTGTTTGAAACCCACTGCGGTGGCGCTGACAGGTTCTCAGACTCTTGGTTCTGCCTCCGGAAGGTGTGGGCCCCGTGCTAGCCGGAGTGTTCTCGGCCATCTTTGTGCTGGTGGTCCTGGTGCTTATGTACCACTGCTGCAAGCAGAAGAGCAAACTGAGCCAACTCAAGCCCTTCACCCTTCCCTCCAAGCTGAGGCAACAGTTCAGGTAGGATGGTGTGCCGTGAAGGACTTGGGGTGCATTGCGGATCATAGAGCTTTCTGTGTGCGGTCCCAGGTGAAACCGCTGGTGGTATGGTGGTGGGTCTCATTCAGGGAAGGCAACGCAGGGTGCATGTTCCTCCTCCCCTCGGCCATGTCCAAGGCCATGGCAGACAGGGCTGATTGACCTGTGAGTGTCCTCTGCGGAGCCTGGTCTCTGTATCAGAGTCCTTCTCAACAGAATGCCCCACCCAAGTCAAGTTGAAGACATCTGTTTTCTACCCTTTATCTAATTGATTTGCTCCCTATGGAAAGAGCTGGAAACTGAGGCAACAGAGAGAGAATGACTAGCCCAAGACACTCCCAGGGGTAGCTGGACATGAGCTCAAGACGAAGACTAAGTCTTTTTTATTTTTTTAAAGCTATTCATTCCCTGGGATGGGGAAGATGTCTAGTCTCTGAGTCCTGTGTTAAACTGTACTTGTCCTGGAAGGGATTTTAAAGCCCAGGTCCTTGCGACTTGATGCCTAAGGGGGACTGTTAGTTGGTGGCTGATGACATCCATTGTCTCCTTGGGGGAGAAAGGTCTTAAAAGGGTGAAGAGAAGGTGCCGAGGAAAACTCTGCTTCCTATAAAGCCAGCTCTTTTCCCTGGGAGTTCTCCATTGGCCACACATGTCTTCATACCCAGGAAGCTGGGGCTCAGGGGGACCAATCCCACTTCTTCCAGAGCAGACTGGGGGGAAGGTCCAGCTGTTTACTGGCCATTCTTGGGTCAGAGGGGCCAGGCACCAATTCTCAATGATCACCCCCTCTTCCCATCTTCTCCCCATTCCTTGTTATCAGTTGTCCCTTCAGGGTGTCTCAGAACAGTGGAACTGGCCATGCCAACCCAACGTTCAAGTTGCAGACCCCCCAGGGCAAGCGCAAGGTAAGAGCTTTGCACCTTGGATGTTGCTACTTTTCCTTTATCCTCAGGACCCTACTAGATTTCCCTAAGAGCCTCTGTGGCCATGGGATTGGTAATAAAAGCCACTTCCTCAGCATCAGAGACGTCCAGTTGGTTCTGACGTCCCCTGAGGACTGCAAAGGTTCTGACCTCGGGGATCCCTGGGATTTAGCAAGTCACCCTGCTCTTCCTCGGCCTCTGGTCCTCTTACAAGAGCGCTCCTGAGTTCCTAAGTGCACTGAGGGTTTCTTTGTCTGAAGACATTCCTTGTCTTATGCCTACAGGTGACCAACACCCCTGAAACCCCACGGAAGCCCCCCCAGCCTCCTCCCCGGCCTCCTCCGGACTATCTGCATGGCGGGTCCCCTCCCATGCCATTGCCAGCACACCTTATCAGGGCTCCTAGGAACCCCCCTGGGGCCGGGTCCCAAGTAGAGAGGAAGGAGTCATCCAGGAGGCCACCCCCAAACCGGCCAATGCCCCCTCCACCAAATTGCATCCTCTCCCAGGTAAGTGAATTCTCGGCAACCCTGGGCTGGTGGTGTTCGTTGCTTTTAAGGCCGCCACCAACAGTGGGGCGGGGGTTTGGGGGACAGCGACCAAGGCTGGGAACATGGAGCTCGCTGAGTCTGAGCTGACTGCTGTTTCTGCCTTCTGATAGCTACACGGTGAGAGCGAAGGCTGTGGGGAGATACCCTCCCCAGGCAACCCCTGAGTGACGGAGGACTCCCTCCCGGGTTGGCCTAGTTTGTGACAGGCCACTACCCACCTTCCGCCCAAAATCAGCCGCTTTCCGTTCCCTGCGGTCTTGTTCTCTTCTCCAGGTCTTTGCAAACGCTGTTCCTGCTGCCCGGTGCACTTTTCTCCTTCCAAACACCCAGCTCCCCCTCGTGTGCAGCTCTCCTCTGAGATGCCCTGTGTCCCGAGAAGCCCTCTCTGACCCCCAAAGCCTGGGTCTGATGGCCCCATCCTTCTCTCATCTTAGGAATCACCCCTACCGTGTACCTGTCGGAGTCTCCCACTGGCCAGGACCTCTGACCTGGGAGGTCCTGTGCGACCTGGCTCGTTGTGGGGCTGGCCAGGGGCAGGGTGCTCTGGCAGGCGGTGTGCTGCCGGTTCACCCGGCATGTCTGGGCTCCAGCAGCTGCAGCCGTAGCTGCTGGCAGAGCGCCCGCAGCACACGCACAGATGTTTCCAGGGCGGTGGCTGGACCTGCTGCCTTCCCGAGTCGAACTGTGTATTTTGGGTGTGACCCCACCGGGGAGCAGGGGATTTGCTTATTTTCCTCCCGGGACTGCTTTTCTTGGGCACCGTCCAGAGGGCTCCACGGGAGCCCAGCCTGTCTCTGAACCTAACGACCGTGGTGCTGGCAGCAGGTCTTGGAGAGCCCCTGGGACACGGGCGGTGTCGCAGTTTGGCAGAGCCGAGAGCATCAGGTTTGGTTTGCTGATAAGGCGAAGCCTCTGCTTTCCCGTTTCCCCATCTGGGGCCGGGGGAGGAAGGAGCAGTGCAGGAGGGAAGGGAGAGGCTGACTGTGAACGGGGAGAGGGAGGGAACAAGGGGGAGGAGCCAGAAGACGAGAGGGCAGTTGTCTGCTCAGGCACCCTCAGCAGACACCGCTCGCTGAGTGGCTTAAACAACGGAAATTTATTTTCTCCCAGTCTGGAAGCTGGACGTCCACAACTCCAGGTGTCAGCAGATGTGGTTTCGTCCAAGGCCTTTCTCCTGGGTCTCTCCTGTGTCCTCACACGGTCCTTCCTGGGCGTGTGTGCCCCGGGTCTCCCTGTGTGTGTGTCTGCATTTCCTCTTCTAAGGATTGGATCAGGGCCTCCTTTTTTTTTAACTTAATCACCTTTTTAAAAACCGTGTCTCCGAAGACCGTCCCATCTACGGCACTGGGGGTTGGGGCCACAACATGTGGATCTCAGGGAGCCCGTGGCAGAGCGAGCGGAGAGAAAGGGCGTATGAGGGGAGAAAGCAACGCGTGGAGACGCGGGTGTGCAGGGAGAACGGAGCGTGGGTGGAGACCAGGGAGCAGTCGGTTCAGACCGTGGCTCCTAAACAGCCCGCACCGGAGGCTCGTTGAATGAGCATGGTGTCACCCCAGGGCACTAGGCAGTAGGTCGGTTGTGGGTGGCCAGGCGTGGGGGTGTTGTAATTTTAAATAAGGTGGTCAGGGAAGGCCTTAGTGAGGGTGATACAAACGCAGAGAGGAAAGGATTCCTTTTACTGTGTCCCCCATAGCGAACCAGTCATTTTTCAATCTCATTTTTTTTTTTTTGCCCAGGTAATACACACATATGGTCTTGCTGGAAAAATTTCGTGTTCACCTGGGCAAGCCCCCTCCCCATTCACACCCCATCGCTAACCCCTGTTACCCATTCAGTCTGTGTGCTTCCCAACTTTCCGGCTGCAGTTACATGGGGGGCAGGGGTGCAAGGGCCACCTGTGATGGTGTAAACTGTCCTGTGTAGCTTGTGCCTCAGCTTCATGACACTTGGTCCCCTTCCCACACAGCACATATCAACTTCTTCATTCTTTCTAAACGCTGCACCCTGTGTCACCGTATACATTCAATAATATGTCTGTTGGTGGAAGTTTATGGTATTTGTTGTTTCTTTTGCTGTCACAAACAGTGCTGCAAGGACTGTCCTTGTCATTTCACTTTTGTGGACCCATGCAGGTAGTTCTCCAACATGGGTAGTAGGGAGTGGAATTGTTAGATCAGGGAATGATCCTTTCTCATTTTAATAGATACTGCCAACTTGCTCTCCAAAAGGCATTTTCCTGAGCATTAAAACACATAGGCATACAACTTCTTTTTAAACAGGACCCTAGAGTATAGTATAATCCCCTTTCTCATCTGATTTTGGTCCATAATTATATTGGGAACATTTTCCTTTGAACAGGCCCCCCTGGGCTTTGAGTGAGGCTTGTGGCTTTCTCCCCAGGATTTCTCCAGGCCCCGGCCGCCCCAGAAGGCTCTCCCAGCTAACCCAGTGCCAGGCCGCAAGAACCTCCCCCGGCCGGGCGGCACCTCCATCCTGCTGCCCACTGCGCCTGTCCCTCAGCACCCCCGACCTCTGGGAGCACCTGCCCCGAAGGTGAGTCTGCAGAAGCCATCGAGGTAAAAGCTAAAGCCAGAGGGCTCCAGGGGACAAGACCGCAGTTGAGAAAACCTTGGAGGTCATGTGGCTTGTGGTAGGGCTGAACCTCCAGAACAAAGGCCAAGGACAAAAGCTTAGTGTTTCTTGGTATCTGTGCGATTCTTCCTTGAATGGGCGATAGGGGATTTTTGTTCCCTGTGAAAGGTGATGCTTAGAAACCTGAGCCATGATGGCCTCACACCTGGATCTGCAACGGGCTGGCTGGGTGGCCCTGAGCTGGTCACCCCCCTGAGTCTGTTTCCTTTCCTGGAGGGAGGCGATGAGAAGCGTGGTGCCAGCCTCCCCAGGTCGCTGTGAAGGTCAAGACAGTTAATTTACAGAAACTGCCAGACCGTGGTAGGGTGTGCACAAATGACTGCTCTTAGGACCTCTTCCCTGGGCTGACGTGGTCTCCAGTGGCTGTTCTAGGGGTCGGGTGCAGGGAAGGCAAGGAGGCTGGCTGACTCCCTGTGTTCCCAGGGGGCCCTGGGAGACCTGTGCACTGAGCTGCAGCTTTGGGGGAGAGGCAGGGAGATGACTTGTCAGTCAGCTCGGGGTAGGGGCACCATCATGTGGGGTTAATGGTCTAGCAGACATGTCACAGACTTCCACGGGAAACCATTCCTGTTGCTGGCCAGCTGTCACCCATCTGACCTGTCAAAACCCAGAGGATGGCTCCCCGTGATCCCCCAATCAACAGGTAGCTGATGTCTGTCTCCCTCCCCTCTCTTTCTCCCCACAGTTTCCTGACAACAGGTCACACAGGGCTGGGGGGATGACGAGCTCCAGAATCTAGACCTGCCTGAGGGGCTGCTCCCTTCCCTTGAGGACTCTGAACCCCGCAATCTGGAAGAAGCCTGTCCGGCCACCTCTGAGCCCTCCTCCCCTCCTCCCCTCCCCCTGGAACCACGGCATCTCTGAAAATCTCCTTCTTGACTCAGCGCCTCCCCAGTCTCCTCGGAGGCCCAGAGGGACCACTATCCAATAGCATCCAAGTGTTGTTTTGTGCAATATACTGGCCCAGGGGTGGGGGGAGGGGCGTGCCGACCCAGGACCTCTTCCCTGCAGGAGAGGATGAATGGCAGCTTCTCCTCCAGCCTCCCTTCACCTGGCCCCTCACCTCAGAGGTGTCCCTGGCCCGCCATCTGAGCCAAGAAGCCTAGCTGGGGAAAGTCCCCTTCAGCCCCTCCTCCGGTCAGGACTTAGCTTGGAGAAGCCATCCCTGCTCGTCCTGTGGGGCGGGGGGGGGTGAGCACGAGAGCTTTCCGTTGCTTCTGTCCTCCTCGAAGGTCCCGAGCTAGACAGAGGCTGGGCGCGTACGTACCCAGGGCATGTACGTACCCAGCCTCTGTAGCTCCGAGATTTCGAGGGGTCACACCAGCCACTGCTGTGTCCCTGCCCAGGGCTTCGCTGGGGTCACAGCTTTGTGCTCTGCAGCCAGGTGAACAAATCCAGTCCCCTCCTCACTGCCCCCAAACCCCCACGTCCCCATATTTACACGGGTCACTCCGACTCAGACAGGTACTATTTGTAGGCAGTGTAGACAGCAGGGGGAGCACCAGGCCTCCTCTGAGCCCTAATGCCAAAGGTTTCGACTCTTGACTCTCAGTGATCCTTGGTTGCTCTCGTTTTTCTCTTCTGCACTTTCCACGTACCCGGCGCTTTTGATTTCTCCTTCCCCACTTGGACCCACCCCGTGTGCGGTGCCGCAGACCCTTGGCAGCCCTGACTTCCTGGGGACCTGGTGCTTGGGACCTGTGTGTCAGGGTCCCGCCTCTGGGGCTGGCTCCATTGGTTATTTTTCAATGTGTTTTGTGACCTCAGCGGGGTGAAGGTCTCTCCCCCACTCCCTGGCCTAAATGTAGGTAAAGTGCCCGGAAACAGCAGCAGATGCAGTGACCTAGGGAGTGGGCATCCTAGGAACCCCCACCTGTCCCTGGGTCTGGTCACTGAGCAGAGAGCACACCTATCTCTACAGGCCCCCGGAGAGTCCGCAGTCAGCAGTCTTGAAGGAACGGAGTCTGAGCTGGGGCCCAGCTAGGCGTTTGTGTTCTGCTTCCCCGTGTTCTCTCTGGTCACTGCCCTTACCTGTGCTCGCAGGAGAGCTGGGAGCAGCCTGGGGTTCTCCCCAGAGCAGGGCAGGAGGGCTGTGTGGTGCTCTGCTAAATCAGACGACTTGTCTCTGGAATGTTCTCTGGCACTGTCTCCCACCCCCAGAAAGGTGCTGTGTGACTCTTGAAAACCTCAGTGAAAGGAAGAGACTTGAGCTTTCACTCTCCACCCCCGGCCCCTCTGCCAGTCCTCGGCACGCAACAGGTGCTCGATCGTGGGTTTGTAGACAGGTGGGAGGCTCAGGATCTGCACCCGGGGGGTGGGGGCGGCACACAGGGGGCGGCTTTAGGAAGATCTCAGGAAAACGGGGTTCTCTTCCCTCAGGGAGTCATGATGTTCACGCCCCTGTCTCCCTGACATGGGTCCTGGTTGTCCCCTGGGGCCAATCTCAACCTTCTTTGCTGTCGACTGAGTCAGGGGACAATCTGCCATTGAAGTGTGCTACTGCGACCGTCCCAGGCCTCAATGTTGGGTCCCAGAAAAGTGAAGGTGAAAACGACCCCCACCAAAAAAAAATCATCCCCCTTAAAGGCACCCCCATGGCTCACAGACGTTCCTGTGGCTGGTCCAGCTTTCCTCCCTCAGGTCAGGAGGCAGAAGGCTCGCAAGGGAAAATGCCACAGCCACTGTGGCTGCTGGAGCCTTGTGAACCTGAAGTCCACTCTCCCTGGAACCGTAATCGCAAGAGAGTTGGGTTGTTGCTTTCTTGTTTTGTGTCTATTTTCTGTTATTTTAATACCACCTCCATCCCATCAAAGTGTACTGTGAACTGGAAGATGGTTGACATGTTAAATTTTGAGAGACTTGTGGCAGCCGGTTCTGTTTAACGCCTCACTCCTGGCTCTGTCCAGGGAGCCGGGCACCGCCATCCCGGCAGGCCGAGGTGGCTGCCCAGGAAGGAGTGAGACCGGCCATGATGTGCCCCTTCTCCCTCCTGTGCCCGCAGGCTGCTCTGAGGTGACAGAGGTAAATCTGGACCTAAGAAAGGAGGGACTTTATTTGAAAGGGTTATTGCAATAGGGACAATGCCTAGGCAAGCTGCTGTGAGGTCTGCCTGCACTCCAAAGCTCAGAAAGAAGAAAACTTTGCTTTTCTAGGGAGGCGTGGACTTGGCTAGAAGCGCAGTCAGGGACCGTCTCTGTGCCCGGCCTTTGGGGGCAGGGGCTGTGTGTCAGCTCAGGCTGACGGGCGGGTCCAGGAGGCTCAAGTCAGAGGGCAAGGAGGGGAGCTTTCCGGAGGCTCGGTGGGGTGAGTTAACCAGTCCTGTGTGCAGACGGAGGTGCACATAAATCTTCCTAAAAGCTAATTTAGTCTTCTGCCAGCTTTACAACCTGGGAAATGTTTTTCTTAAGAGCCTGGGAGCCATCGCTGAAATGTAAACCTCAGGGGACCTTGCGGGGAGACAGCGCCCGGCTCCCCGCCTCTTTTGGCGGGAACTGCAGCCCAGGCACCTGGCTCCCAGTCGGAACTGCCTGCTCGCCCCGTGTTCTGGTAGCCTTGTTTACGTCTCCCTCTGCAAGAAAAGCCCCTCTCTGCCCCAGCGCGGTGACGTCTGCAGGCCTCCTGGGACGGCAGTGGCCCCTCAGTCTTACTGCGGTTGTCCCCCGCCCTCTCTTGCAATAATCCTTTTGAATAAACCCCCCCCCCCGCCCCTTACCTCTGTCCTAATTTGTCACTTGGCCGAGGGGGTAGAAGCCTTGCATATTTAAATCTTTAAATGGGGATCCAGTTCTAAAGTCAGTGACTGTGTGAAATGCACCTGTAACAGCTCTGCTGGACACCAAGAAAGCCACGGGGACGGGACAGGGACGCCAACCGGAAAGGTGCTAAGAGGGGTTCCGCAGAATCCAAGCCGGGCGCCCCCGAAGTGACCCTCCCCCACATCCTCACACCACCCACCGTGCGTGTGTACGCATCTGGGACCCAGGGCAATGTGAATTTTCTTTTATTTGGGAGATTCTTCGTGGAAAACAGATCCTCTTCTCTCTTGTCCACCTATTAATTGTTTACAATATTTCTACATCTATGCAAAATACTTGAATGGGCCATGGTGCCTTTTTTTTCCTTGTTTGTATTTAATTAAAATAAATTGACATTTGAAATGTTGTCTGGTGGCGACTCTTTTTTGTTTTGTGAGTTTCGATGTCCTCCGGCTCAGCCTGGAGATGGGTCACGGGAGGCTCCTGGGGGGGCGGGGGGGGGGGGTGCCATGCAAACAGCAGGCCAGCACGTCGGGCCGTGGGAGGAGACCTGGAGCTGTGCAGAAGCCTTGGGTCTCCCCGGGACCAGTCAGAGGGGCTGCTTCCCTTTGCACTTGGACATAGGCTGGTCCAGTTTGGGTCACTAAAGGCATGAAGGATCCTGGGACTCCCTGATACACGCTTGGGAGGCAGCTGAGACCTTCCGCTTTTCTCATCTTAATTGCTAGGGACTGCACTTCAAAGAGGGGAGGGCTTGCCCGAGGTCTACTGGGCTGTGCGAGCAGGGCGGAGCCAAGGCGAAGGGCAGGTGTGCTTTCGGACCCCAGGGCCCTGTGTGCTAACAGCTCATCCATTAGTGCTTCTCCGGCTGCAAAAGGATGCCACCCTCTTTCTCTCACTCGATCCCCACTTCAGTGTTGAGCTTCTCTAAGAGAGACTGAGTCGTAATAACCAGGAGAGCAGGGAACATTCACTGAGTACTGAACACACGTGAGGCTCTGAGTGCTGCCTGATCTCATTTTATCTTCACAAAAGCTTTGGGAGGGGTCCTCGATATCCGATTGCACTTTTCTAACTTTTCGTGATGATGAGTTTGCCTGAGGGCATCAAAGGCATTGGACACCAATACCCGGACTCCTAAAATGCTTGCTTATGCAATTGGCCCCCCACCCAACCACCTCTGCCTGCCTAACACTGTCATCTACACCAACCACTGTGTCCAGCTGTTGATCGTCACAGGCTGGTCAGCAGCATAAGACACAGAGCTTGGCTGCACAGACCTGGGTTCAAATGCTGCCTCTGCTGCATCCAGCGGGTAAGTTCCAGAACCTTGGTGGGAACCATAGCTCCCTATGGAGGGGCATGGTCCTCAGTGAAGTGCCCTGTGGGAAACACCCAGCTGGCACACGGCGCTCAGAAATGGCATCAGTTTCAGAGTCGCCCTGTTGACCATGGTGGGGTTCTGTGAGGATCTCTTCTGGGCTGAGCTGGCCCCAAGAGGGTTTGGGCAAAGAAGGACTATGGTATCGTTCTTTCATTCAGTAAGTGTTTTTGTGAGTGCCGACTATGTGCTCAGGACACCCATGAGGCCGTCGTGGTCGCCATGTACTCAGGACCAGAACCACAGACAGCTGTCAGCGGGGGACGGGGCAGATCACAAGAAGAGATGAACAGAGTCACATCAGACTGCAGCCGGGGGCACACTGAACCTTTGGAGACACACTCACTCCCTGGTGGTTAAGACTGGGGACTGGGAGCCACAGATCAATGTAGACTCCTGGCTGTGTGGCCTTGGGCGATTACTTAACCTCCCTGAGACCCTTTCCTCATATACAAGATGAGGATAAAAAGTCTATCTGGCTTGGGGGTTTCTGAGGACTTAAAGAGAGAATTTCTGTGAAGCTCTTAGCACTGCACTAGGCTCCTAGGAAGGTCAACCACTAACAAGGGATGCGTGTCTTCTGACTCTATTCCCAAAACAGCCTTTCCTACTCTAGTGACGGCTGTTGAAAACCACGGTAGGGACTTCCTTGGAAGCCACAACCCTCCAGAGATCAGGGACCGGCTTCCCAGCACTAGAGGATGCAGGGTAACTGTTCCACGCCCCAGCAAGGCTAAGACGCAAGTATAAAGTAAACACACTCGGAGGTCTTTATTCCTGACCCTGCAGACCACACTCTCAGGGCCCTTAGATTTCTGCTATGCTCAAGACCCAACACGTTGCATTGACTTTAGTTACAGACAGAAATCCACATTCATTAAAAAACTGGGCATATAAGGCTGGAGGTGCAGGAAGCCAGCCTGGTGGTCAGCTGAACCTTAGCGCTTCCAGTCCAGCAAGAGTCTGGCCTGGGCTTGGCTGCACTCAGGGCACAGTATGTAAACACAGGGCGCGGGGACGGAACCGTACACGGGAGGAGCTGCCCGAACTTGGGGGCTGAGGATCAAGTCTTCCCTCTTTACAGAGGTACTCGGCTCCCTTACTTCCCTTTCGGTGGTCCCTGTACCAACTCCCACACTCCTGCAGCGAGAAAGAAGGCAGGAGGGGAAGGGTATCAATTACACCTCTCTCCAGATGCTCTTGCTTTGTGAATTCCTCTGGCCAGACGTGAGGGGACCAAAGGCAGTCCCCAGAGCAGGTGGTGTTGGAGCATCGTGACACTCTGCTGCTGCCCAGGGTGAGCAGCTCCTCAGTGGAGTCGAGGGCTTGGTGGCAACTGGACCAACAGCCAGAATGCACCCACCCATGCCAAACCTACACCCCACTTGGTCACTGAAGTTTAAAGTGGGTCCCACTGGCCAAGCCTCTAAGGCTGGAGCTCAGAAATTACCCAGAGCCCTCTCCACCCGGGGTCTTGGTTGAGCACCGGAGTAAACACAAAAGTTAGCTGGGTTTCCAGAGGACCGGTGGCTCCTTTCTGCCAAGTCCTGACCTTGCTCTTCACCCTCCTCATCTCCCCAAGTCATTTTGGTTTACTCCTTGAGGGAAAAAAAAAGTGCATTCTGTCAACAGCTCGACAGGGTAACTTTCAAGAGCAGTGCAACTGCTGTTCTCTGAGGCAAAATGAAACACTGGGTTTGGCCAGCAGAGCTTGGCTGCGAAGTATCTTTCATTGTGGTTGTCACTTTGTTCTGAGCTCTGAGATAACTGCCCGAGCATCTCAGTGGCTGGCTCCTTGGCGTGCAGAGAAAGAGAGAAGGGGCAGGTGGGTGGACTCCATCGGAACAAAGGTGCTGACCTCCGGGCTGCACTGCTTGGGAGGCGGGGCTGGTGGAAGTGGTGGATGTTTCCCTGAGACATCAGGCGACTTTCACAGTCAGAAGGTCAGCTGAGGCCTTGCTTCTGCCTCCAAAGAGGAAGCGGCAAAAAGCAGCAAGACAGTTTTCACAAGCCGGCGCTCTGTCGGCTCTGGATGGGGAGGCGTGGCGAACAGAGCCGGCCTCACGTCACCCTCGGGCTAAGGAATGGCGAATCAGTCCCAGGAGCACGAGAGATGAGGATTTCCTGATGACCGACATCCCAGGGCAGTCTTTAGACCATGTGCTACATTCAACAGGTCACATTCTGTCTTCTTCCCAGCAACACACAGTTGGCACCGAGGAAACACGTGGGAAGGGAGGTGCAGGGACCTGCTGGCGACGATGTAAGTGCGGTGTTTGGTCACCGAGGCTGTGTTTCCAGGAAGCTCTGCCCCCACCACGCACTCACTGGGTGGGGGTTTTCCTCCTGGAGGCAGCGATGAGGTATAAAGGAACATCTCAGAGAAGAGAGCCCGTGGGTCACAGCTGTGCTGAAAATGACCGGGTGGCTCCGAAACTGAGAACTCGGGCTGTCCCGCAGGGCTCGTCCTCTCCCTCGCGGATTCCGAGCTTTAAGAAGACTGGATGACAAATACTTTGGGCTTCTCTTCCGGCAACGGAGTGCTGGAGAGTTCTATATTGTCCACAAGGACATTCTTGTCTTCTAGTCTAATGGCGGTGGGCTCCGGGGCGGGAGGAGGGGCGGGGTCTTTGTGCGTGTGGGGCAAGCTCGTCTGGCTCATGTCCAGGTCTTTGAAGGCATGAAGCATGAACACGCCCAGGATGATGGTGACGAAGCCGGAGAGCGTGCCCACGATGTCCACGGCAGACATGCTCTGCCACTCCTTGAAGAGGACGATGGAGGAGGTGACCACGACCGTGGTGAAGAACACGTAGTAGATGGGGAACACCAGGGAAGTGTTGAAGATGTCCAGCGCCCTGTTGAGGAAGTTGACCTGCGTGCTGAGCGACAGCGCCAGGATGAGGGACAGGATGTAGGGCAGGGGGTGCCGCACGACGGGCAGCCCCTGGAAGAAGTTCCTGATGGTGATGCCCAGACCCTTGACGGCGGACACCGAGAAGGCCCCGATCACGGAGCAGATGGCGATGTAGACGAGGATGTTCCTCTGCCCGTAACGCGGGGCCACGACGAAGATGAGGATGAGGCAGAACACCAGCAGGAGCACGGCGAACACGATGTACCCTTCAGGAGCAGAGGGAGACAGGTTGCCCCAAGACCGCAGTTTCCCCATCTGTACAGCAAGGCTAGTAACGAGACCTTCCGCAGAGAGCTTTTTCTCGTAGGGTTAAATGAGGTCACGCATGCTGCACGGCTGACTGTATCTCCTCAAATCCCTAGGTGAAAACCTAATCCCCCATGTGAGGGTATGAGGAGGCGGGGCCTTTGGGGGGTGGCTGGGTCATGAGAGTAGAGCCCTCACGAAGGGGACTGGTGCCCTCATAAAGAAGACCCCAAAGAGCTCCCTCGTCCCTTCCACCACGTGGGACACAGTGAGAGAACGGTGATCTAAGAATCAGGAGGCAGGCGCTCGCCAGACACGCAATCTGCGGGCCCCTGGGTCATGGACTGGCGGCCTCCCGAACTGCGAGAAATAAACGCCCGTTGTTTATAAGCCGCCCCGTCTGCAGTATTCCGTCCTAGCAGCCAGAACTGACTGAGCCAGCGCAGATGAAGCACTTAGGACAGTGCCTGGCACGTCCCAAGCACAATAAATGGCATAAGATATCTCGGGCTGGCAAGCTTATGAGCTGGTCTTGCCTTCTCCACCTGAGACACTCCGAGCCCAGTCGGCCCTCCCATGTGGGGCAGCGCCCGGCACTTCCCTGCTCACCGGGCTTGGTGCCTACCTGTGCCCTTCATCTTGGCGGCCATCTCAATGACGGTGGTGACCTTTTCCTCCTCGGGGGCGTGGATCACCATCACCGTGCTCCCAGCCACACAGATGGCACAGCCCAGCTTTCCCAGCAGATTCAGACTCTCTCCCAGGAAATACGAGGACATGATGGCGCTGTAGGTGGGAACGGGAGGAGGAGCTGAGGCAGCCAGGCCTGGGCCAGCGCCCCGAAGAGAAACAGGGTCTGAGCAAGGGCTCCTGGAGCCAACAGGTCAGGATGCACTTGTCTCTCGTGGGGAAGCTTTTCTAGAGCCCCCCAAGCCGCTGGAAATAGAAACTCACTTAGGGGAGGGTTACAGTGTGCGCTGGAGGAAGTGAGGACGCACACGGGAGTTTCTTTCATTTTAGAGACTGAAAGTATTCCAAAGCAGAAACGTGGGAAGAGCCCCTCAAAGCACTCTTGTCTAACTTCCTGCCCAATGAGCACATCTTCTCTTAACATTGCAAACAGGCGGCTTTCAGCTTGGCTTGTATCCCTCTGGTGACACGCAGCTCACCCCTTCACAAAGCAAATGAATGCACTATAGGTTCATTTTAATTATACACCAAAATTATGGTGCTTTCTACTCATTATTCCATTTCTGTTCCTTGAGCCATGCGGAACAAATCCATTGCTTCTTCCTTTTGTATATGCCAATATAAACAACACAATGACAATTATAGGCACTGTGTCTTTGGCCTATATTACGTACCCTATGGGGATTACACTAGGAACTTTCCGTTTTTCACCTTGCTAGAATCTAACAACTCTTTGAGGAATAAAATATTCTACCCCCATTTTACAGAAGAGAAAACTGAGTCTCACAGAGGTTAAAACAACTGGGCAAGGTCATACGACTGGTTATGTGCTAAGCCAGGATTTAGGTCCAATTCTCTCTCCTTATAAGGCCTAGGTACCCTTATGTACCCTATGTACCCTGTAAGAGGAAACATAGGTTTCCTCTACACATCACTAAGGAGCATTCTTGTGACTCCCCTAAGTCTTCTCTTTCCTTTCTGGGCAGAACACCTCCACTTCCTTGCTGTTCCTAGATGACATAATTTTCATTCCCCTCACATCCTCCAGATGTGCCAGCAGAAGTGAGGGAAGAAGGGAGGAAAACTGGGCAAGAAAGATATCATCACTAGGGCATGCTTTTGTTTCTTTACAAAGTTAGCATTAGTTTAGGGTAAAATCTGTTATCTGGCCTAGGACCCAACGTTCATCCAAGTTCTTCTGGATGTCTCCCACCTCCTCTAAAACTACCAAAAGCATCTCACCCACACGCCCGTTCCAGCGGGTCCGGTGGCGTTAGCGCAGGCAGGGATCACGCACGGGAGAGCTCTTGACTCTCCCAGCCTCCCGAGGGAGGGAATTTGTAAACGGATCAGATGTGCAACCCTGGTCACACTGCTACATCAGCCAACTGTGCTATGTGAGTCACTGCTCTATTTGTTTGGTTTGCTTGGTTTCTGACTGCATAAATGTTGCAAAATTATTGTCAAGAAGGTAAACCAAAACAGAGGAAATTGTGACTACTGGGTGTGGTTGGCTAGGATTTGCCAGGGCTCCAGCTTCCAACGGGGCTTCAGGAACTGCACCCCCGCCCCACCACAGGGGCTATGTTTATGGCTGGGGAGGAATGGGGCAATGGGAAGCACACAAATTTAGTATTGGTTATTTTTAAAGCTGGGAGACGCTTGCAAGGCAACACAGCACAGCTGTTGAGCACCCAGACTCCGACATTGGACCACCCAGGTGGGGACCTTGGGCTAGCCTCTTAGGACCTGGGTGACCTTGTCCAAGTTCCTTAATCTCTCTCAGCCTCAGATTGCCCCTACTTTCTAATTAGCAGGGATGATGTCAGGATTACATGAGTCAGTACACAGAATATACTTAGAACATGCAGCACACAGTAAGCCCTTCATATATGTTAGCCATGGTTACTCTTCAGTGCCAGGCTAACAATGCACTTTCTATGCATTATGTCATTTGGTCCCTGCAGCAAAATGCCTTTAAGTAGGTAGTATTAGCATCCCCATTTGGCAGATGGGGAAACTGGGGTTTAGACTGGTTCAGTGACTGGCACATGGTAATGTCACTACTCAGTGGGAGAGCTAAGGTGAGAACTTGGCATGTTCATCTAGGGTTCGTGCTTTTCACTTGTAAGCTTCTCCTACTGGGCATCAAAACATTGACATGAGACGTCAATGAGATGGGTGGCAGTGGAAGCGCTTCCCACTGGTCTGGGCTTGGCTTGCCCCTCCGCTGCCCAGTAAGTCGAGGGGACACTACAGCAGCTGACAGCGAGCAATTCAAGGAGCCAGAGCTCTGAACAGCATCCTGCCGCTTTCTGGGAGCTGGGATCGACCCATGTCCCTGACTGCCAGTGGGAGCTGACCCCACTGGCAGTTCCAGACCCCAACAAACTGAAAATAGGAAGCCCTGGCTGGGTAGCTCAGTTGGCTAGAGCGTCGTCCAGATATGCCAAGGTTGTGGGTTCAATCCCCAGTCAGGGCACATAAAAGACTCAACCTATGAATGCGTAAATAAGTGGAACAACAATCAATGTTTCTCTCTCTCTCAAGTCAGAAAATAATAATTTAAAAAAGAAAAGAAAGCAGGAAGGAGCCAGAGAAAGCAAGAGAGGTGACAACAACCTTATGAGGACACTCATGGCTCCCAGGGGAGTGATGACCGTCGCGGGAGCGAACGCGTAGGCCCCGAAGTTGGCCACTTCTCCAGCAGCCACTAGGACATGAAGGGAGAGAGAGGTTAGTTGTGGCTCCGCTGCCCCATCTCCCGCCCAGACGAGTCTGGGTGGAGACGGCTTCATAGAATCCCAGGCTACCCTTCCTTAAAATCCTGATTCACATGCTTCTCCCTGGAGAATCCAATCAAGGTCAGGCCCAGATCACCCTGATCAAAGCCTTCCATTTTAAAGATGGGGAAGCTAGACCCAGGGTTCAAGGTCACATGACATGGTTGTGGGTAGACACCGTCTTGTTCTTGAGGTCTCTTGGCTTCTTCTAGTCCAGGCATGGTTAAATGTGCCTCAGGGACTGCCAATATTTGGTCTGTATCTTTAAGGTAAGTTCTAGAAAGTGTTAATTATCAAATAGAGAAACAGTTACGGTTATCGATTCTCCAGGTACTGACTGGTCCATAGAGTCCCATTTCCCAGGGGAACTGTGGGTAGCCCACAGCAGACAGGCAGGTGGGTTAGAAAGTGTGACCTTTCAAAGGGCCCAGTTCTCCCCATTCGAGTGTCCAGTTTGCAGACTCCTGCAAGTGCCTTTTCTGTCTCTGCTGGTAGAGAATGGCACGGGTGTGCCCCATGAAAGCAGTTGGTAAGTGGGATAGCTCTGGCTAAGCCTGGAATCCAAACCTGACGTAGGCGATTATAAATGGAAAGCTGGCTGATTTTCCATCGGAAAGAATTAGGGTTTGAAAGCCAGAGAGGGTGGGTGGAAATTGGGGGAAATGTGTGAACGTGCAAATTTAGGCAAACCTTCAGCGGCAGATCAGCCATGTTCTGAGTGAGTCCCAAAACCGCCTGTGGAATAGGGCAGTTGGCACAGGAGTGCCAGCTTCTGCCACGAGGAAGTCCAAGAGACGCCAGAAGGCAGCGATATCTCTTTATGTTCCAGGGGAAGTTGAGAAGTGACACCTTTCTCATTACCGGCTCTGTACAAACCTCTCTGGGCACAGATGCTTCACGGACCCAAAACTGACTTTGGGTTGAGAAAGAGATCTGAGATACAGGTAAGATGTCCCACCTGCAAAGACTGTTAGGTTTCCTGCCTAAAAACCTGGGTCTCACAGTCACAGTCTTCACACTAGAGACAGAAATGCCCCAGCCACCCTTCCTTTCACCTCTGCCTCCGCCGTCCATAGGCCACTGTCATTAGTAGCGAAGTCCCCACTTACTGGTGAGAAATCCAGCCCACCACATCGCGTCCTTCAGGTAGCCATAGCCTCCGTCCACTGCAGAAAGACATGGACACAAAGTCAGAGCGTGGCCACACTTTTTCAGGCACCCTTCCTCTCTCTGCCTTCGCTTCACAGTCTCGAAGGGTTCAGTATATGTTAGCTGTGGTCAATCCTCTGGGCTTACTCCTGGGCCCCCTCCTAGGTGAGTTCATCCACTCCCCAAGTGAGAAATACCATCTATGTGCTGGGGGCCCTATTTCATGCATGTACCCTGAGCGCATATCCACTTGCTTATCCGACATCTCTTGGATCTCTCAACAGGCATCTCAAACTCTGTCCTCAATGGAACTCTTGATTTTCAACGCTCCCCAGCCACCCACCAAATGAAACTCAGTAACTGACACCTCCATGCACACAGTTGCTTAAGCCAGAAACCAGGGGATCACCCTCGGTTCCTCCTACTCCTCCACCTTCTGCATCCGGTCCATCCTGCTGATTCCGTCTCCAAAGAGCATCTCACGTGTGTCCACTCCACAGCCACCACCCAACTCCAAGTTACTATCATCACCTCTGGCCTGGTTGAGGCAACAGCCTCCTCTGAGTCATCTCTTGTCCCTTTATAATTTGTTCTTTTCACAGAAGCCAGTGGTCTTTCAAAAATGTAGAAGAGAGTATGTCATCCTTCCACATATAGCTGGCCAATGGCTTCCAAATATACAATCTAGCCACTCAGGCTTTCTTCTGGCTCTTCGAGAATGATGAGGGCTTTCAGCCTTCAGAACTCTGCCCGTGCTTTTCCACATTCGGAAGAGTCTCCTTAGCGATATTTACCTGCATGTGCACTCACTCTACAGGTCTCTGCTCGAGAGAGGTTGCCCCAAGATCCCCCCGCCCCGCCGCCCGGCCCAGTATCTCTATTCCTTCCCCTTGGGGTTTTCCCTCATCGCACCCAGCTCTTCTCCTTCCTGGTGCTTATCATTTAGAATGTGAATTGACCTATTTATTTGCTGCCACGTCTCTCATTAAAATGGAAGCTCCACGAAGCCAGGCATTGTGTCTGCTTTGTTCACATAATGGTCTCAGAGCCTGCCCGTAGTCAGTGCTCAATAATGCTAGCTATGATGATGATAATGGCTAGGTTCAAGGCAATTCTCTTAAAACCCCAACATTGCACGCCATTTGTTGTGAGGGTCTTTAGGTTCCTAGAGGCCTTAAAATCTCCCATAAAAGTTAAGAGCTCTGAAAGCATTTTAGTTTAAGGTTTGAAATCTCCGAAGCTATTAAAATAGCAGAAAATTAAATAGAACATGTCCAAACTTGAACCCATCATCTTCCCACAAACCTGCCCCTCCTGCATTATTCATCTCACAAAATAGCACCCTCATCTCCCCGGTTGCTCAAGTCACAAAGCTGCGTCATCCTCGACTCGTGCTTTTGCCCGCCCCCGGGAGCCAGGCGACAGCAGAGCCAGGAAGTTCTGCCTTCAGACCTGGACTCCACACTTGTCCCCGTGCCCGCTGCTCTTTCCCGGGCCCAGACGAAGTTCTGTTGTCTCTCTCCCCTCACTGGTCTTCCCCCTCGTCCCTAATCCATTCTCCGCGCAGCCTCCAGCGACCTTCTCTCATCATGAATCAGACCATGTCACCCCCCTGCCGAAAGCCTAAAGTCGCTTACAATCACACTCAGATTCTGAAGCCCAGTTTACAAGACCATTGTGATCTGGCCCCAGCCCCCTCTCTTACCCACCATGCTCCAGCCACTTGGAACCACATGCACTTTCTAATGTCACCCATGCTCTCTCACCTCTGAACCTTTGCACGTGCTGTCCTTTCTGCCTGGAACACTACGTTCTCCTCCTTTCCCCTTCACCTTGCTATCTCCGCACTACTTAGGTCTCAGCGGTTGGATCACTTCTACAGAAAACCTCCATGAATGCCCAAAGCCCAGGCTTCACATGCCTCTCCAAAACATTGCCATTGCATCTGATTCCCCCCCCACCCCCGATAGCACTTTACACACTATAGAACAACTGCCTACTGACCTGCCTGTCCCTCCCACTCGATTCAACGCCCTGCAAAGGACACTGCGGCCTGGGTCTAACATGGCACTTGGCACACAGCAGGTACACAAGAAATGCTGATTAAGTGAACAAATTCTTTTATGCATGGTTCCATTTCTCAAGAATTGTTTCATGGATACACATCTTATTTTTCAAGCAAGCAAATCCCTGTAGACAGAGATTCAGTAATTCTTTTCTTTTGTAGCCTATAAGGGACTTCAGTATGATAGTAAGTGCCTTGCATTGTTCCAGGCAGAGGTATTTGTATTTCCATTTCGTAGGGAAGTTACGACACGTCTTTGATGACAGATAATAAACAATAAAACCAGGACTAGACCTGGGGTTTCTGATTCTTGGCCCCTATCCCTCTCTTCACCCCAATTCGCTGAGCATGAGGTTGTCAGGAAAAACCGGATTATAAAGGAAGGGCTCCTATTGGTGGGTTGGCTTTCCAATGGGGATGACTGTGAGCCTTTCGTGCCCTTCGAGGCCAGCCTCTCAAACTGCTGCAGCGAAGGGAGGTTCACAGGGCTGGCTGAGGGTCCAGGCACCCAGCATCCCATCTCCATCCCTGCCCCCACCAGCAGCCTACCAGCCCGCGTGGCCCCCGAGGCCACCAGGCGCAGGAGGCCTTTCTTCTTGAGGATGACACTGCTGCCGATGAGAAGGCTGGACAGGAAGGCCAGGCCCAGGCCGACGTAGAAGCTGTAGTTCTTCCTGAACCTCTCCTGCCAGCTGTAAGAGGTGACATTGCTGGGTATCTGGGGGGCGAGCTCACCGACGATCTGGCACAGGACTTGCTGGGAGGAGCAGTAGAGGGTGATGAGGGAACCTAGAGGGGAACACCATGGTGAGAAAGGCATGCTGGGGACACAGGCACACTGTAATGATATTAGACTGACCACTGTTTCAGGCCCCATGCTTCAGCTACAGCGGGGTTCCTTCCCCACACTGGGCCGCCCCCCTAAAAACACTGGCTAACATTCACCAGTGCTTACGTGAGGCTTGCATGAACTCATCAGATGCTTACAACCACCTGTCAGGTGAGTGTCGCCTTGAAATCCCATTTCACGGATATGGCTTCGGGAGCCAAAGGAGGTCACGCACTTTGCCTAAGAACGCAGATTGACTCTAGAACTCCAGCCGAAACCACTCAGCTCTTCTGATGCCCCAACGAAGGCAGGGCCCCCCAAGCTCTTATTGAATCTATCTTCCCATCCCCATCCCCCACTGAAATCACTACCTGCTCCCCTGACCCGTCCCCAGCCTCTGGGCCTCCGACAGCTCAGAATCACATGCAGAGTACCCCTTCCAGAGGCGTCTTCACTTACGTACCCCTCACTCCGGCCACACTGGCGACCCCTGACAGGTAACACAAGGCAGTGAGGTTAGAGAGTCCAGAGCCCTTTCTAGGTCTGGGGATGATCAAATATGAGGGCGCAGTTTGTTATGACTGACCCTTCCCTGACCTTACTTCTGAGACCCTGGTGCCGTGGTCAGTGGCTGTGGCCTGTCTTCAGGCCTCAGAAGAATGAGTGTCCCTCTCAGAACCTGTCTTCAGTTTGCTTTCTGAGCCCTAGAGTCCGTGAGAGTCCTCGTGCCCCAGAGCCAACCCACCCTTGTTTGCCCTTCTGGCACAAACACCAAGGACAGCCCTGGCTGGTGTGGCTCAGTGGATTGAATGCTGGTCTGTGAACCAAAGGGTCACCAGTTCAATTCCCAGTGAGAGCACATGCCTGGGTTGTGAGCTGGGTCCCCAGTAGAGGGCATGCAAGAGGCACCCACACATTGATGTGTCTCTCCCTTTCTCCCTCTCTTCCCATCTCTAAAAATAAGTAAATAAAATCTTTTAAAAAACCACAGGACAACAGAACAAACTTGGGCATGAAGCTCAGACCCTTAGTCAAAAACCTAAGCTGTCCAAGTTCAAGGAAATAGTACGAAGCATAGCCAATAACCCTCCAGTGCTAGGACTCACATGGCCCTGTGCTTCGGGGCTTCCCATGAGCCTTCCTGTCGTGAAAATGGCACGGTGACCATGCCCGGGTTTTAGCTGAAGAAATTGGGACCCTGGTATGTTCGGTGGCCTGTCTAAGGCTACACTGCTGGTAGCTGGTGAAGCCAGAATTGGACCCCAAGCCTACCTGACGCCAAAGCCCATGCGTTTAACCACTACGTACCCCCCACAAAACAGGCAGCAAGGCGGGTGGCATTGCACTTGGCCTCTTGAGGGCTATTTTAAAATATGAATTTGTCACCAACATTTAAAAATCAGATTTCCCATAAAAATGCAGCTTTCAATGACCTTGCAGGGTCCGCCTTCCCACTGCAACAGTCGGCCGCTGCGGAGCAGTGCTGCCCCCCCAGATGGAACATGCTCTTTGCAAAGCCCCAGAGTCCCCACCCAGCTCCCTCCAGTCTTTCTGGTCGAATGCTGGGCCTTGAGAGGCATTCGAATTTGTGACCTCTGGCTTTTGAAGGTCTTTTTCTAACAGTGTCATCTTTAGACCTGGCCCCTGTGTCAAGGACGTAAGCCTGGGCCAGGCACGTCTCCTAGGACCACACTTGCACGAGAAGGGCCCTGAAGGCCAAGGTCAGGCAGCTTTGCCTTTGGAATACCCAGGTCACAAGGTGACATCTTGGTGGACCTAATGAAGTGCAGTGTTGAGCTTTCTTCCAGGGTGCGGGAGCACGGAACAGCAGAGCTAGAACAGCCCTCTTTCGGCTGGGGAAACTGAGGCCCCGAGAAGGGGAAGTACCGACTTGTGTCACACAAAAACCCAGTGGCAGCTGGCTGGGGAATGCCCCAGGGGACACCTGTGTGTCTTTTACAGTGGCAGAGCTCTCTTTCTGACATGTGTCACAATCGGGAGAAGATGAGACAAGCAGCGGTCTCCGCCCCTAATCGAGCTCGTTCTGATTGCTCACCTCTGTTCCTCATCTGAGACAGGAGTCCGACCTGGGGAGTTCCCTGCGCTCAGGAAGTGAGCCAGAGCCTGGAAGGACATGGGCCAAGCAAGGAGACTCCCCAGGGGAAGGTCAAGCCCATTCCCACACCCACCTCCTGCCCTCCTGAAGGGACATCTCCAGCAGGTGGAACCAGCAGGCCTACTGTGGGTTTGGCTGTTTGGGGGAGGCCTGAAGCACCCAAGGGGCACAGCACCCTCCATTGACTCAAGTTCTCCCGTAGGGATAGAAAGAAAATGAGAGAAGGCTGAGGGCCAAAGGAAACCCAGTTCTGAGAAGGATGTCATCTGCCAAGCGGAGTTGGGCCAGAGGATTCCTGCTTCTCTTCCAGAATATGCCAGGACTGGGGAGCGTCTTCTTCCCCAGGGCAAGGCGAGGCTGAAAATGAACTGCCTTGTTGGCTAGGAAGCCAAAGCCAGCCAACACCCAACAGGCCGGCTTTGAAAGCTTCACTGGAGAGAGAAGTTAGAACAACTGGGGTCCCCCACAGGGCACCATTCCAAGACAGGGTGGGAAAATGGAGATGTACCAAGGAGAGAGTGGAGCACAGGGGTGTGAGCACAGGTTTGGCATCCACGAGCCCTCGTTCTACACCCCATTTCCCCACTCTGCTACCTGGAGCAAGTTATCAGACTTCTTAGAGCCTCAGATTCTCTGTCTCCAGCGTGGAGCCAGTAAAGTGATAGTATCTGCCTGTCTGCCAGAGTCGTGTTAAGGATTAAATGAGATAATTCACGTAAAGAGCCTAGCTCCCTACTCGGTTCCGGGTAAGAAGTCAACATAAAGCCAAGGATCTTGCCTTATCCTTTCCTGGGTTGTTCTTTCCCACCTCTGTTTTCGGTGGGCCATAGGGAGACGGCCAGACCTGGGCAGGTGCCAGAATCTGAGGCAGCCATACATACAACGAAACCCGGGACCCCACACCTCTAGGGCGACCTGTTGCAACCAAGAATGCCTGCTTCTGCCTCCTGCCTACCCTGTTTGCCCCCCTTTCTCCCACTGTCCTTTCAGCTACCCAGCTCCCGAGATGGGGGAAGTCGGCCAGAACCCTGCTCCTTCCCAAGACAGGCCTGAGAACTGGATGGGGAACAACGTGAGCCCACCACTGAACCACCCCGCCCCCTCCCCTCGGTTTTGGGCCGCCTGGTAGGATGCGAATGGAAGGAGCGATGCGGAAGGAAAGGCGGTCCCCCCGTTCCCCCCGGCGCACGCCCTGCCTCCGCCCCCCTTCTGCACCCACCGTTCTCGCAGCTGGCATTGCTGGCCGGCGACTCCATGGGGCCCTGGGCGCACGCACCGACGCGCGCGGATGACGCCCCAGGCTCCCGGGCTCTGGAGCAGGTGGCCGAGACTTGTCCCCGGCTTGGCCGGCGTGCGAGAAGCCGCCGGGGTCGGGACCCAGGGGTGGGGAGAATGACCCGCCCCAGAGGGGGAGGGTCCCCGGGGAGGAGTCACCCGGTGTCTTGGGCAACTCCATGGCCGGGCCCACCCCCCTCACTACCCCTCAACCCCCACCCCGTACTGCATCTGCCCTCAGAGGTGCGCACGCCTACCTGGGGCGGAGGCTCCGGGAGAGGGAGTCACCGCCCCTCACTCAGGGCTGGCGACAAGGGGGCGGGACCCTGGGCGCCACCCCTTCCCGAAGCGGAGATTGGCACCCAGTTCCCTCTCCGGTGACAGAGTCAGTGGGCCCTAGGATGGCGGGAGAGGGGGCAATTTTGGGGCCAAGGTAGAAGTGGGAACGTGGGGTTCGGAAGGGGAAATTCCTGCCAGCTGGGGCCCTCTCTCCACAGGGGCGTCCAGGACCCTGGGTGTTTTTCTTCCCGCCTGGCTGCCTGGCTTCCTCCCTCCCTGCCTTGTTCATTCGCACAACACAGGTCTGACAGTGCTGGCCACCAGCACACGGCGGCACCCGCCAGGTGCCCACTAAATAGTGGTATATCGGTGGAATGAATGGATGCTAGAAGCTTGGTGAATTGAATGGAAGAAGAAAGTGAAATGACATGACGGGAGACCGAAATGAGTCCACACGTAGTCCCTGTCCCCCGAGAATTTTATATATTTTGGGGGGGGGGGGCGCGCAATGGGATCAGCTATCTAGAGACTGGTGTTTTCCAAATCACCGTTAAAAGGCGGGGCGGTGGAAGCGTGTGTTACCGTGGTGTGGCAGTGAAAACAGGACCGCAGACGTGGAGTGCGTCCCCTCGGCAGGGCCCGGCCTTTTTAAATCTCGAGAGAGCACCGTGCATGGGGCCAGCACTGAGCCCAGACCCAGACTTACAGACCCCCGCGTGTGGTGTTAATGCACTTAGTTGTGTGTGCGTTTGTGATTTGTGGAGCCACTACCTTTCAGGGTACAGGGCTGCGCCCCCTTGCCCGGAGTTAAGAGCAGTACTGAGTTCATCCTGTACTTTGAGGGCTTTTCAGAGTTAGATGGATTTCACGTTTTGGGGCAGTGGGCTGAGGTGGAGGGAGCAGGGGCTACTGGAGGGCCTTCCACACCCTTTCTGGACCCCGGGTCCTCATCTGTTTTAGCGGGGGCGGGGCCTCCACTGGACTGCCACCCGGAGCATCCTGGGAGTGCAGACATAAAGGGCCCCATTGAACCGCAGGCTGCTCACTGCTGTCCTGACAAAGCCCTTTTCTCCTGGAGCCACAATAGCCCTGTCAGGCAGGTAGCAGGGCCTGCAGCATTGTCTCCCCAGAAAAGAACAATAGGGTTCACTGTCAGCTCCAGGCTCGGTCTCCCAGGGAGGGTGGGTGGCTTTGGAAGAGTCTGACCAGCCTGGGACAGATGGGCTCCGTCCTTAGCCAGCCAGGCACTGGTGAACCAGCCGCATCTTATTTGACCAATTCTTTGGGGATGAGCAGAAAAACAAGTTTACCAAAACCCAAATTCCTAAAAACTTGGCTTCTCAAAGTACATGTCTACGTGTTTCATAATACAGAGCCACAGTGTCCGTTACGGTAGCCACCAGCTCCAGTGGCTATTGAGAACCTGGCTACTCTGAACTGTGTGTACTGTGCATGCAAAACAGGCTTTGCCAATGTTCCGGCCAGGTCATTCTCTGTCACTGCGGCTGTCCTGTGCATTACAGGGTGTTTAGCAGCACCCCTGGGCTCTGTCCTCTAGATGCACACACATCTGACCCCCCCACTCCTCCCCTTGTGACAACCAAAAATGTCCCAGGCAAGGGCCAAACTTGCCCCCAGTTGAAAACCATCCAGATTTCAAACTTAGTAAGGAAAAAAAAAAGCAAACTATCTTGAATACATGGGTTAAGCAAATTCTATTAATAAAATTAATTTTCTCCATTCCTACTAAACAACGAAGAATTATACACATGGCTCAGATTTTATTTCTATTGGACAGTGTTGTTACAGAGGAAGACACTGAGAGCCAGAGAGGGAACATGGCCAGAAGGTCCCAGAGCACCAGAGAGGCAGAGCTGGGGCTTCAGTCGGGTTAACAGACTGGAATCCCAGGTCAACTCTACTGCTCCAGGCAGCTTCACAGCGGTAAGGAGATCCCAATTAATGCCCTGTGCGTTTCCAGCGTGGTGTGGCTACAGGCACGGAAGGAGCAACAGAGAGTACAGACATAAGTCATATGAAAGCTATTTGGAGAGGGCTTGCTATGTTACATGCATGCCCATGGAATCTTTGCATGCAACACCCCTGGGAAGCAGGCTCTATTAGTGTCTCATTTTTCAAGTGAGGAAACTGAAGCCCAGAGATAATATTCAGCCTGTAATCCAACACAGAAGCCAAGGATCCAACAGACACTCATTTCAATGCTCCCGGACCGCCTTGTGGTGCTAGATCCAGGAACAGGCCATGAGATTCAGGTCACTTCTCTCCCTGGCGTTCCTACCCCAGGTAAAAGGGCTGGGCAAGATGTAGCTTGCAGTCCTTTCCAGCCCTGCAGAGCTGGTCCTCCAGGCAGGTTGGGAAGGACAGATGGCTGTCACCATCTTTAGGCTGACCTGGAATCATGAGAATCTGGCCGGTCAACATGCAGAGGCCAGCCGGCCTGCCTTCTCCAGGCGGGTCCCCAGGATGGCTGCTGTCCTGATAAAGAGCTTTGCTGTCACTAGAAATAAGGTTTGGAATGGACACAGGAGCACTCTGACTGGCTCCAGGAAGGGCACCTTGCCCAGCGATGGGGTCCACACCAATTGGCACCAGTGACGATTAAAACACCACCCGAGTGCGGACTTCTTCCTCTGCGTGCTAAGCACTTTGAAGGCACTGGCTTATGTGGTCATTACAAGCCCTTCTTCTGGGTACCATTTTAGGTCCCATTTTACAGATGAAGGAACTAAGGCTCAGAGAGGTGAAGTGACCTCCCCAAGGTCACACGCAAGAGTATAGACAGAACTTCAACGTGGACTTGTGAGTCCACAGAGCAGCTCTCTCATGCAAGGTGCTAGCTGAGGAGGCCAGAGCCTTCCTCCCAGACCCCTTCTTGCTTCTGCTCTGCGTGGGGTGGCGGGGCACACTGGGGCCATCCCGAAACCACACGGGGCAGCTGTCTTTCAGAGCTGGAGCTGCAAGGGCTCAACTCATCCAACCTCTTTGGTTTGCAGATGGGCAAACCGAGGCACAGAGGGGGCATGGGCAGGCCCACATCACCCTGCTGACTGGTGGCACTTCAATGCCAATCCAGCACTTTCGTCTCCCACTGTGCTCTTGTTCGGGGCAGAAAGGGCTGACCTTCAGGCAAATAATGAGTTGGGTTTTTTCCCCCTGACTTTTTAAGGATGAGCCAGAGAACTAGGGACTTCACACTCATTGTCCTATTAATTCTTCACAACAAGCCTGTGAATTAGGTGCAACTGTAATTCCCATTTCAGAGATGAGAAAACTGAGGCTCAGGAAGGTTAAGTCGCTTGTCTGCGAGTAAACAGTGGAGCTGAGATGAAACCCGGCAGACCGATCACACCGCATTTGTGGGATTCCCTCATCGGACTATCGGCCTACAGGTGGAAGAGGTTTCAAATTCCTACGGAGGGCGGGGTTCACTGCAGGGAATCTATGTGGACATGCAGCATTGCTTAAACTTGGAGTGGGTGTGCAGACAGCCTAACACACTTAATGCATGGAAAGAACTTCAGATCTTACTGAAAACCAGCAACAGTTAAAATGATAATACTGAGACGAACTACAACTCGCTGCACAACTTCCACATTGCAGCTTCTTCAGGTGCATTAAATCCAGCCCTTAGAGCGGTCTCCCGAGGCACATGAAGTTATCCTAGTTTTACACCTGATGACAGTTGAGTCTAGGAGGTCTGGTGACTTGTTCAAGGTCAGGAAGATAACAAAGCGGCCGAGCCGGGCTCTGAGCAGGTCCTGGAAGCTCTCACTGTGGTCTCGTCCTCATTCCCTGCCTCCTGCTGCCTCTGCTCAGGCAGTGACCTCAGAGGGTGGGTCCAGGGGACTGTAGCAATGCTTGGACCCTGCATCTCTTTGGACCTGTGGCATCTGGTGTGTGGGGACAGGGAGGGCAGAGGCATATTGAACTTTGTGGCCAGAGGGACGCCTCTAGCTTTAAAGCGGGAAGAATCACTTTGAAAATGAACTACAAACTTGGGTTCTGTTTTCCCTTTGGGATTTTAAAAAATAAAGCCATCTTAAACTTTGATCTCTGAGAGGCTGGGGTTAAAAAAGTCAGAGAATGTGAGTTCTAGGCCTCATTCTACCACTAACACTCTGGGACCCGAGGCAGGTCCTTTCTGTCTGGGCCTCAGTTTCCCCAACATGTGCAATGAAGTGAAATGAAGGACTAGATCAATGGTTTTTAAAGTGGGTTTGGTTTCTGTGTGTGTGTGAGATGAGGGTAGGCAGCCAAGTCTTTTTTCAAAGCAGAAAGTTTCTTAGCAGGACAATATACGAATCTCCTGAAAGAGAGCGTCTGTCGTTGATTGAGGGCAGGAGCCTGAAGCTCGTCCCCTCGGCCTCCACGTTGTGTCCCTGTTGTCCCCTCCCCTGCAGCAGTGCTGAGACATCCCCTCAGTCAAGCCAAGACTTGGGAGATCCCGGATTGACCGGGGGGTGGGGGTGGGGCCTGTGGGGCCTCCTGGCAACACAGCTTTGCCCGGTCCTCCTGTGGGGTGCTCCCTCAGAGCTGGCTCAGGGTGCAGAAGAATGGCCAGTGAACCACTGCGTGGGTGAGCTCTAGCAGGGACACTTGAGTCCTTGGGATCTTCTCAGGCCCATCTGTCAGCGTCCTGTGGCAAAGGCACATTGTTGCCAAGTGGGTCTGAACACTCCCGCGTGGGTGCTAGGCTCTGAGTCCTGGGGAAATTCCCACACACCCCTGAGTAGGGAGCCAGCCATAAGCGTGAGACCCTACCCCCAGAGTACACTCGTCACTCGAGTATGCTGAGTGTTTGTGGGATGTAGGCCAGGCTCTGGGCTATGTAAAAGCTTCACATAAAAGAGTGGGCTCTGGCCC